CCCGCACTCCACACCCCTAGCTCCGCTTGTATCCTCCCACCAGCCCCCACACACACTCTGCATCCCCAGTGTGGACCCCTCACTCGCTGCTCAGCCCACATCCCCACATTCCACACCTCCAGCCTGCACCCCCCACCTGGCCCTCTGTAACCCCTGCACCTTTCTGGATGCACTCTTCACTGTCGGACTTGCAGCATTTGCAGTGGTAGCACCTTCAGAGCCTGGACATAGTGGAGTTGAAGTGGCAGCCAGGGCCGACGTGGAGCTGGGTGGGTTGCTGCATTTGTGGCCAAAAACCCTGCAACGCTCGCAGTGCCACTAGGAGTAGCTCTGAGTTGCTCAGCGATGAGTCATGGCCACACTTACCTTTGCTGGGGGTGGGGAGTAGTAGCATTTCCCCAGCAGCCCAGGTGAGGGCTGCTTCCTGCTCCGTGGAGCACTGGCTGGTGACTGATCTCTCCCCCAGGCAGTACTGCCAGCATTATCCCTTGCCACTGCCACTGCCACTCTGGGCAACTGCCTAGTCTGCCTATAGCTAGAGCAGCCTCTGCTCATCCCTCTGCCCCTTTACCAAACTACGGTTCTATTTTAGAACTTCATCCTGCACTTTTCGTAGATTCATAGATTCCAAGGACAGAAGGGACAATTTTGATTATCTAGCCTGTCCTCTTCTACAACACAGGCCACAGAACTTCTCCAAAATAATTCATAGAGCAGATCTATTACAAAAACATCTACTCTTGGTTTAAAACTTGCCAATGATGAAGAATCCAACTCGCTCTTCATACATTGTTCCATTGGTTAATGCCTGCTTTCTCTGTGGGTAAAGGCTGCAGGATCTGACCCAGAGAAAGTGATCTGCTTGATTGGGTCATTTAGACAGAGCCTCTTAAAGGGCTGTGGGAAGATGCATTACCCCTGGAGGAGCACTGAGAAACATTCTGCTGGAGTGGGCATGCTCCTGGGCTGCCAGCTAATAGGGTGCAGCTTTCTTTCCCCCATGTTCCTGCACAGCTGGGCAGCTCTACTGGCTGCTGCATTGGGGGTGGAACCATGGCCATGCCTCCTTCCCTCCCTCAATTGGGCACCAGGCACCCACGAGAATAGAAGGAAGCAGAACCTGTATTACCATGAGCTCAGGGACTTGAATTCTGCATGGTCCATACAAAGGGAGAGAGGCATTGTGACTCTACCCTCTCCCTCGCCTCCGCACATCCACAGAAAAGCAACAGCCCTACAAAAACATGAGATTTAAAGGCCAGATTCTGCCTGGCACTGTTGCAGCTGCAGAGCCTGAGGAAGGGAAGGTTCTAGGGGTCTTCACCACTTTGTGCAGTCCACATAGGTACCAAACCAAACTGCAGACCCTACGCTCCCCAGAGCACAGGAACTGCTCCCCCACCTACCTCCCCTGCAGGAGCACAATGCCCCAAAGGGGCTCGGAGGCAGTGGAACTCCCCCGCCCCCACATCAGCAGGCAGCAGAGCTGACTGGATGCAAGATGGGTAACAGGACGCAACCCACAAAAGGGTGCAATAGTGGCACAGTTGAGCTCCAAGTGCTTTTTTACCGTTCTGTTAAATAAAAAACGTGGGCTAGATTCTGGCCCCCACTATGCACCACCAGTGTGGTAAAGAGAGGTTAAAGGGGCTTTAAAGCCCATTTAATCAGCTTCATTACCCTCAGTGTAATGAAATCCCCAACTGCTGAAGCATTGGCACAGCTAACTCCACACCAACACTCTCACAAGCCCCAACATGGGGGAAGGACTGGTGGAAAAGGAAGGTGGCTGGACTGCATTCTTGATCCAGTATCTCCAGCTGCTGAAACAGTTCCTTGGAGGTTGGAGCAGCCAGGCACAAGTAACAACAGTCTTGAGGCTGCTCTAAATTGTGCCGGCAAAATGGCCTTTGACAGCCCTGAGAATCATAAAGCTCCCCTGCCTCACTCAGGTCCTAGGCCAAGGGTCTGTTTAATTCTGAAAATAGAAGTCTTGTGTCAACCAGCCACCCAGCTACGTGTCGTTCCTAACAGCTCCAGTTCTCAGCAAATGCTCTTCATCTTTTGGGTGACTGCACATTTCATACTTCTCGGTATCAAGTCCCAAACACAGAAGGAGGCCAACACCATCAATATAGCTAACAAAGCCACTGCTAAGAGGCAGAGGAGGTCCATATTTTAGCATTGCCTGCTCAGTTGCAGTATGTCTCAGAAACTAATAGGGCACCACAATATTTTAGACGCATTGTACTAAAATAAAGAGTGCCAACTATTGGATGACCTAATATTGCCCAAGACACTTCACTTAGATCCAGTTAACAATATCTACTCCAGACTTATTTTCAACTACTTCGTCTTCGGATTGATCACAAACTAGAGTTGAAAAGCAAATGCTGAAACTGAACCACAAGCTTGGCTGTAGGCATCGAGGCAAATCTGTAGGCTGTCGATAAACTCCAGTTTATTCAGTGGGAAGTACAAGAAACATTGACAACATCTGTTTTTATTTGATAAAATCCTTACAAATATCAAACCACTGTATCCCCTCCACTATTTATTTTCAATGCAGGAAAAACAGCTAAAACTTATTTTATATATGAACACACACAGCAGTAGCCTCATTATTCCTGTCCTCAGGCAAATCAGTTCTTCACGCCCTTTACATAATGTGTAAACTTCATTCATGATGTTCCGCAGCTACTCACACGACAGGGAAACATACCAGATGCAACATCAGATCAAAAAAGAAAGTGAAAAAACACACACGCCAGTAATTATACTCTACACATATACTTGTCATTTGAATGAGACCACACTCAAGTCTTTTTATATCTACCTGGGTCCTCCTGCCTATCCTGGTTAGCAGGGACTGAAAAAAAAGTGCCTGCAGGTTTTACATTTGGCCATTCTTGTCCACAGCTCCTGCTGCTGCATTGGCTCTATTGCTTCTCCCATAGCCAGTTTTCTTTTTCTCACTGCTCAAAATACTGTATTGCAGTGAGAGGACCTGCAGTAACAGAAGCAACTTAAGCTCCCCTTTAGAAGAGGCACTCTACTGGAGTGGAGGAGAGAACAATAAGACTTACTTATCTATCTATCTATCTATCTAAACTAAGCTAAACAACCTATTTATTTATAGAGGAATAGGAGGGACTCAGGAATCTCTGCAAGGTTGGCCTTGCTTGTATGGTATCCCCTCAATTTTCCCCTCCTGGAGGATGGGTCACAGTACCAGTGGAGGAGGCAAGAGGTGCAGCTTACAAAACCTACAGTCCTAGGCATCTTGGAGAAATAAATAGTTGCATGGAAGGGTGGCTTTCCCTCCATGTGGCTGCTCTGACACTTCCTCCCAATCCTGCAGGAGTTGTGTGGCCACTGGCTGATTCTCCCTTGGCTTCACGGTTACAGCCCTGGAGAGAGTCAGGGGGAGTTACCACCACTTCATGCGGCCTTAAATCCTGATTGGATTTTTGAGCAGAAATCCACAGGCTCAACAGGGACATTGCTGTAGAGAGTGGCTGGTCCTTTGCTCCACTCCCATCAACATCCAGCTCTGTCCTCAAAACAAAGCATGGCACCAACTCCCCAGAAGATCAGTGGAGAAGTGCTGAAGGAAAAGGATTGAGAGGAAAGAGCTACTGAGATTTCAGTTCCCTTTGCTTACAGAAGCAGAAGGAACAGTTTAGGCCATAATTTTCCTATTTTGAGAGCTACAGCTAGTTCACTAAAAACAAAAGAAGAAAATTGCCTTAATAAAAATTACATTCCAATAATGAAAAGCATCTGAGAGAAACACAAGCTCAAGGTGATTCACAGGTAAAGCCTAAGCTTCCAATCCATGGGCACCGTGGGACATCACCCTAATGTGCCCTGTTAACTGGGAATTGTGAATGTGTCAGATCCTTAACTTTATCTAAATGTAGGGGAAATGAAGAGGAGTCCGGTGGCACCTTAAAGACTAATAGATTTATTTGGGCATAAGCTTTCGTGGGTAAAAACCCCACTTGCATCTGAAGAAGTGGGGTTTTTGCCCACGAAAGCTTATGCCCAAATAAATCTGTTAGTCTTTAAGGTGCCACCGGACTCCTCGTTGTTTTTGTGGATACAGACTAACACGGCTACCCCTCTGATAAACATAGAGGGGTTTTGTCATGTGAATTAAATGTAACTTTATCGGCCTCAGCTGTGTCTGACAGAGAGCCCTGAGCATGGGGCAATGCTTCAGCAGGTACATGGAAGCATTACACACCAGAGAAGCACAATATCTTCAGCGTGGGGTGTTCTCTTTTCTGGCAAGGGTGTACAGCATGCTCTGTGTCCCTGGCCAGGAGAGCTGTCTGGTAGGAAGCAGGATGGGGCAAGAGGAGGCAGAGCCATCTTCTGAAGTGGCTAGTGCACGTTTGAGTGTTAGGAATGCACTTTAAGCAATATGGGATCATGTCAAATACATTCTACAGACTCATGTTCCAGACCATGCTCACCTGCTGGGTGAGAGATGCAAGGGAGGGAGGCTTCATGCATCCTTCCCCATTGAACACCCCTGTAGGTGCAAGGAACTGTCTGGCTTACATGAGGTGGAATTTGGGCATACAGAATCCATATGATATGATCGCATATTGCTTACTAGCATTGTATTGCTAAACCATGGTGCAATATACCAGCATTCCTATGATGCAGACAAAACAAAGGGATTGTAATACATTCATAGGCACTGACTTCGTGAGTATTCCAGGGCTGAAACACCCAGGGAAAAAAAATTAGTGGGTGCACTGCACCCACCGGCAGCCAGCTCCCTTCGTCCCCTCAGAACCTCCTGTCTGCCTGTGCCCCACTGATCAACTTCTCCCCCTTCCTCCCAGTGCCTCCCACCTGCCACAATCAGCTGTTTTGCAGCATGCAGGAGGCCCTGGGGGAGAGGGGAGGAGCGGAGATGGGGCACACTCGAGGGAGGGGGCAGAACTGAGCGGGAAGAGGTGGGACGGGGATGCAGTGGGGGCAGGAAGAAGCGGAACAGGGTTTGGGGGAAGGAGTGAGATGGGGGAAGTGCCTGGGATGTGGGTGGGAAGAGGCGGAGCAGGGGTTTGGGGGAAAGGGTCGTGTGGGAGTGGGGCCTGGGGCAGAGCGGGGAGTTGAGCACCCCTGGAGCCTGGAGGAAGTTAATGCCTGTAAATACATTTGTATACTTTGTGGGTTACATGTCATTAGTGGATATTGTATTTTTTAGTAAATCTATCATGGCGTCCCAGCTTAAACAGGATCACTTTGCTTATGATCAGTAATGAAATCCTACCAACTTTAAATATTAATTTCTCCTTGAAAATTAAAGGAAGAGGCCAGTCTAGTCCCTAAAGAAAGATTTATGGTGTTAAAAAAAATGGGCTTACCCCTTCAGGGGGCTATGTATTCTCAACTGCAACTGACATGAAAGGGAGTTGAGGGTGTCCAGTACCTTGCAGGAGTTGCTCAGCACTTTGTAGGATCAGACTCAATATGTAGGATTGCATTCACATGCACAGACTGAAACAAAGTTGTTCAGTAAGCTCTGCTGCAAACACTAACACCACAATGCACACGTACCAATAGAGACAAAACCCATTCACACCAGTTAAAATCGGCCCAAATGCTACAAGTCAGGACATCTTTGTCTTGCTGAAATGACTGCATTGTAACTGAATAATAAAATAATACCTATTCATTAGGCACAAAATATATTATTATTAAAAACTAATTCAGCCTCCTAAGTGGTCTCAGCAGTGGCTGATTCTTGCTTTACTCCTTAATTCCTTCTGACTTCCCGTCCCTTTAAAGGCTGCGGTGGCCGGTAGTTTCTCAGCATGCAGCAGGCTGCCTCTCCCTCAGCAGTACACAGAAGGCTGCGGAATTTGGCTAGCTGCAGATGAAAAGAGGTACAGAGTTCAGCAGAGAATTGTCATGCTAAGGCTAAATGAAGAATTCTAAGTAATAAACATGAACATACTTGTCACCTTTATTTCGCCAAGAAGTGTGGGGATCGTATTATCTAGAGCACACATGGAATGGCCATTTGGGCATTTCAGCCCTTATTCCTGTTAGCTATTGTTTTTCATTTACATTTTGTGAGTGTTGTTTCAGGCATTGTCTGGGTATAGCATGGTATTCACACTTGATCTTTCCTAACCTGAAGCCTAAAAAGAATTCTCTTTTAAGATTTCTGCACCCTATTTTGCAGTCCGAAGGCCAGCATCATTCCCACTAAGGTTTTTTTTTTTGCATACGGATTGCCTGGGAGCCGACATGAGCAGGCAAACAAAATCTGATTGTATGCCCTCATGGTGCAGAAATATCACCATCAGTGAAGAATGATGGATGCTGTGCTACAAAACACTTCTTTACCATTTTTTACATCATCTGCCTGGCACACAATACAAAGCAAATAATAATTACTAGAGATGAGCCCAAACCAAAATATCTGATCCAAACTTTCTCTCTCTCACACACACTTACAATTAGGAAATGTTTAAATCTCTATCCAAACTTCACAATTTGGATTTATTTCAACAATAAGGCAAACTGGAACACCCAGCGCAAATAATTATGAGCTGTGAGGGCATTTAGATCTGGATTTGATTCCAGATCTGAACCTTCCTAATCTGACCTATTGTGAATAGTTATTAGTTTTATACACTAGCTTGCTTCAGACTGATTTCCTTTATTTAGTTAACATTAGTAGGGCAGCACAAAAGTCATGATTCTGATAGTGGATATATAGTATGTTATGGCAGGGTCACTGTCCGGGTGGGAAAACAAACTTCCTTCAGAAAACGAGCATCCAAAATAAAGTGGTTATTAAGACAGTTATCTGGGAGAAGCAGCAGAGGGTAGAAAATTGCTGATGACCAGATTTTGTCACTTCCTCACATTGAGTAGAACCTTACTTCTAGTACTCCCATTGATTTCAGTAAGTCACTGCCTTTTGCTTTGGGTTGTGCCTCAGAAGTACAATTTAGCCCTAAGAGAGTAGAGAATCAAGCCCACAGTCAGAGCCCATAAGGCTTCAGGACTGGCCAGGAGAGTCCCATTCTTAGGGTATTTCTACACTTCAGAGACTATACCAGCATAGCCATGTTTTCAGAGCTATGTTGGCATAATCCCTTAGCGTAGATGCAGCCTACACCAAAGGAAGAGATTTTTCCATTGCTGTAGGAACCCCACCTCCTCGAATGATGGGAGCAAGGTTGATGGAAATAGTCTTCTGTCAACACAGATATGTCTACACTGGGGGGTAGGAGGGCATAGCTAAGGTTTTATTTCCAAACCCATGAATGCCATAGCTATGTCCACCTAACCTTTTAGTATGGACCAGGCCTTAGTGTCCCCTCTTAGGCTCCTGAGCTCCATGTTCCCAAGTAGGAAAGAGAGAGAGGCACACTAGGCTGCTTCTCTATCGTTACCGTCTGGATTCTAAGCATAAAGATCCAGCTGCAGGTGAGCCCTCACCACAGAGCTTCCTAGAATTAGGCTGCTTGTCTGTGATCCTAGAAATATGGCTAGAACAGCAGCACTGGGAGAGGATACATAGAGTTAGGGTCACTCTACCCACACCTTTAGGCCACACACTAGGCACAGACCATACTCTGGGGAGCAGGGGAAGCTCCTGGTACAGGGGAGAACCAGAGGGTTACATTGGGGATACTCAAAGTGGGGCTACGGGCAGATGGGGAACTTGGGAGGGGGAAGGAAGAGATGGTGGAGGAACTCAAGAGGGAAGCTAGCTCAGGAGGTGGGGGTGGGGATGGGGATGGAAAGCTAGGGAAAAACTTGAACCGGAGTAGACAGAAATGATGGTGGCAAGGGAGGGAAGAGTATGTAAACGGGGTGGTGATACTTATGTACTACTTATGCAAAACAGTATAATTTGCATAATACATCCAGATTTCCAAACTCACAGCCTTACCACATATGTCAGTGTTTCAGTTCACAGAATAAAAACAGAAACTACTGACTCATACTTCTTTAATCGCGGTTTAATTGGCAGGACACTTCACTGACAAAACCCAAAGTTAAGAACCTGCACCACTATGCTAATAACATGGCCCGCTCAATTAAGAAAAATGTATCTGCAAATAAATTAATTTTCATAAAGCAATTAATTAACAAAAAAAGTAAAAAACAAAACAACTCTCCCTTTGAAGTTACTACAGTATTCAAAAAATTAAGGCATTTTTTCCATAATGATGTTTCTGGTAACTCACTGGAAGCTTGAAACTGACCTTTGTTTCTTTATTTTTAAAACATTTCCCAAGTGGAAAAGAATAAAATCAATAAAGGAAGAAATTGTATTTTAAGCTTCTAAGAAAAAAATATAAAAATGAAGAGTTAACAATCAAATTGCAAAGTAGTACCAGTCAAAGCATGAACTGTGACTTCCTTTATGTTTGTACAGCACATGGCACGTTGTGGGCACAACTGGAAACAAATAATAGGTAATAACAAACAATTTTTTGTATTTAATTATAGAACATATAAAATATCACATACTGAACAGGATAGATCGAATTTGAAATAATACAGAGTAAGTGTGTTGCATCAGATACTGATATTTCATTCCCTAAAAATGGTATACACATTCCCTGTTCCATGCAACATTTCACTTTTAAAGAATTTTAACTAGGGATTATGCTAAATCAAAACTTTGGATTTGGGAAGTTCAGGTCTGGATCTGAACTTTGGACAGCAGTAATAATCATCATACTGAATACTTATATAGCACCTTTTCATCTTAAAGAGCTTTACCAAGCCCAGTAAGCATTATGCCTATTTTACAGATGGGGAAGGTGAGCACTGAGTGGGTAAGTGACTTGTTCAAGGCCAGCTGTTCCCAGAGCTCAACGTCTCTTGATTCCTTCACAGGTGTCCTATCCACTGAAACACCTGGCTTGCATTTTGATCAAAGATTCAGGCCAGTTCTTATTTCTTCTGAACTGGTTCTTTCATTCTTAGTAAAATGCTAATCAAAGAAAACATTGCACATAAAAAGAAATCTACCCTTCATGTGACCTTTAAACTTCCCAGCTCTTCTTTTGAGTACTTGAACTCTCTTGAGAGATAATGCTTCTAGGTTGAGATCCTGTCCTACTGAAGTCAATGGGAGCTTTGCATCTGATTTCAGCGGGGCCAGGATTTCACCTTTAGAATCCACCAGCAAAGAGATACCAATCAAACCACACCATTTAAAACTTAGCAACTAGTGGGCCACACCAAATTCTACCCATCTTAATCACACTGAGTAGCATCGCTCAGTGGGACAATCATACTCCTCTTAATTATAGTTTTGCTAAGGGATTAGTCTGAGCTACAGGATGGCTCAGCGAGGCTATTCATTGGCAAGGTTGGAAGGGTGGCATTATTTGGCCCAGAACAATTAATTTTACTGAGTGAGTTATCTATAACATGGAACAGGTAAATATCGAGGTGTGATAAGTCACAAGTTTTTAATATGCCAACTGGAGTAATGATACCCACCAACAGCAGCACTGGTTACCAATTTCTAATGGTAGAAACTGGAAAATCATATTCCCTTTAGCATCTCCACTGCCTAAGAGTATTAACCTCAGTAACCATTGGATGTCACTGTTGGTCTACAAATATACAGCCAGAAGGTCAATTTTACAGCTGTAAGTAACATGAGAAATATAAAGGGCAGTTCCAAGTGGTGTGCTCATCCCTCTCCTACATTCATTTAGCCTGATTGTTAGGAACTAGTTAGTAGTAGTAACTATAGTATTCAGATTGACCAAATTTCATATTCTTAGTATCTAGGAAATGCTCTGTATTTATTTGGCCATTTGCTGAACTGGAATTCTATAATGAATGAGTTAAATGCAAAGAAATAAATGAATAGCAGCATTTTGGAGATGGTAAAAATCTGTGGAATGAAATTCAAGTGGTTATTATCATCACCAGAACCTCAAATGAAATTAACTATCAGTTTCTTTCTTGCATTTTTCCCAATTTGTAGCTCCCAAACCATTTTTTTAAAATTTCAAAACATTTTAATAATACTTGATCATTCTGATGGCCAACGGAAGTCAACAAAAATTCATGTTAATTTCACATTTCTCTAGAAACTCAGGACAAAAATGTAAAGCACAAAATTTGGTAGGATAAGAAATTTCATAATTAATTAAATATCTAAAACTATAAATAAAATAGTCTTGGGAGTATCATTATAAACCACAATTCAGTTTTAAAAACATTATATTTGAAGGGTTGGGGGGAATCAAAGTGTACCTGCTCAGAGGAAACACTTATAGGCTCTCTGAGAATTATCCAGATGACACTTTCAAGAAGAGGTGGAACAGTAAGAGAGCCAAGATAAGTCCAGTAGTCCAGAGAGTGAGGAAGCAAACAGGAAGGGTCAAAGTTTGTGAACAGTGCTTGTTTACCCTGGAAAAAGAAGCATGCACATTCTAACCCAGAACCACCACATTTAGCAACCACTTATTATGCAGTCTAGTTAATTTCTTTATAGTGTCAGAACATTTTGTTTATTTAAAAGTGTCAAGCAGGATCTCCCGCACTAATCATACCAAAGGAGAATTATGGAGAGAAAAAACTGTAAGAGATTGTTCCATTGGTGGGGGCAAGGTTTGCATGGCTCTGGAGGATCACAGAGGTACATCTACACAGCTCATGGCAGTGAGCCTCCCAACCTCGGTCCACAGACTTGGCTTGCACTACCGTGCTAAAAATAGCTGTGTAGATGTTGCAGCTTAGGCTCTGAAACCTAGGGAGGGGAGTGGGCCAGAGCCACCCATGTGAAGGTCCTGTGCCTCTATAGCAGATCTACCCCTAGTGTTCCTTCTGGTGACAGTAGGGTTCCACTGAAGCCATGCTACCAGGCACTCCTGTTGACTACAAATAGCCCAGTGATGGGGGCTCTGATGTAAAAATAATACAACATCTGGATGTATTCTCCTTTGCTTGGAATGTCTGGAGTGCTGGTGGGATGGCAAGCTGTGTCTTCTCCAGCCTGACACCAGCCCACTCACGCCTCCCTGGCCCACTGATCCATGCCCTCCCACCCCATGTGGATTTTTGGACCGAGAGAGAGGCCTCTGCAGGGTTTGGTGTCACAGAGATAACTGCCCCCCTCACATATGGAGGGCCAATTAATGCATGCAAGGCCACTCCATGTTCTGATTGAAGGGGACACGATCCTCTTCTCCCCCCATAAAACAAGTGAGAAAATATGTCTCGATTCCCCATATTCTTGGGGAAAAAAAAACTCCACTAAAATAAAATGTGCAATTATCCAATGTCAGTGATCTTGATGATAAAGTTATTTGTCAGGGATTAAATTATTACAGCTAATTAATGATCTTCCCCTGTCCCCCCGCATTGTACAACAAAATAATTACAATGTGCTGGTTTGCGTCTGACTTTATCCAGCAAAAGTGCCCCTAAACTGCCCCACATCAGAGCTAATCCTTGTTTACCAGCTGTAAATACCTAAGGAATGTGAATGTGAAGCATGGAAGAAAAAGAACAGCAGCAGAAGTACTGGAGAATTTTAGGAGAATTACTTTACCTTGGCTCTAATGGCATCCAAACGGTCAGTAATTTTCTTCAGCTGAGAGTTACATTCACCAATCTGTAAAGGCAAATAGTCCAAGATCATACTCTCAAGGGAAGAATATGCATTCACTTTCCACTTATTAATGTTTAATTTTAAAGTTTTTCACATAGGCCCTGATCCTTCACCAAGTGAAGTTAATGGTAAAACTCTGATAAACATCAATGGATGCAGTATCAGGCCATTATTAATTAAAACAACCTGGAACAAATGCTGATTATTCAGAAAGAGGGATGTCATTCACTTTGATGAGACTATTTTTTCGTTAGCTGCATCAGTCTGGGGAGTTTATTTTATTTTTAGTTCACTTTTTGTAGCAGTAGAATAAAAGCTAGTTTTCTTAACAATGTTTTATAGAGGAACTGTAAGAACCTCAGGCTGTATACATGATGTGAATAAATTAGTCTACAGCCTTTTTAAGCTTAAGTTCCTTAAAGCACACTGGAAAATTCACGAACATGACTCTTCTGTGTGATTCGTGCAGAATCAGGTTTCTCAGCAATGTTCATTGGGTCAGGAAGGTGTACACTGGGAAGGTGACAACACATATAAAGGAGTGGCTCATGAAAAGAGTACTTTGTAATTAGTTGGCAAGAGTGGGATAAGTTCAACATGAACAAGCAGCACAAAACACGTCAAGGATCCCTGATGACACTGATCTCCGCAGCATGACAGCTGTAACATAGTCACAGAAGTGAAATTCACCTGTCAGCACAGGAACCAAAGGCTCCAGAGGAAGCAGAACCATTGTAGTTACATAGTGTGGGAGGAAAGTGGGGAGAAGGCAGCTGTGCAGCAGCCCTCCAGATCCCTGATATCAAGCAAAGCTTGGTTTGCATTTGCTTGGCAAAGACAGGGTGTGTGTCTGTGGTGTAGCCAGGGGTCCTGCAATTATGTGGATGCAAAGGCCACAAAATCCTGTCAACAGCAAGGGTCATAAGCACTGCTCCAAACCAGGGCAATAACATTTCCAAAAGTGGCAGTGACCATCACCGTATTAACTTGACACTGAAGTAGGGGCTACTGAGCTGCCCGGTACCCTGTCCTCTAATCACAGGTTAAGTTTTTTGTGTCCTCTACGTGGCTCCTTGCACAAAGTCAGTGAGGCTGTGGGAAGGGGTGGTTTCTTTTATCCTAGAATGAGCAGGTTATCAAGTGTATAAGGCACAATCTTGTTCAGAGATTTTAAGGAAATCCTCTAATGTGTGTTTTCCTCTTTAGACAGAAAAGAAGCAATTCACCATTGGAACAAACAGCTAAGGGAAGTGGTGAATTCTCCATCTCTTGATATCTTCAAATCAAGACTAGTGCTTTCTGGAAGATATGCTTTAGAAAAAACACATGTTATTGGGTCATACAGAAGTGCCTGGGTGAATTTAATGGCCTGCGATATACAGGAGGTCAGACTAGATGATCTAATGGTCCCTTCTGGTCTTAAACGCTATGAATTTTGGTGTCTTCCAGGTGGTGCAGCAATCTACTATTACAAACACATTAAAAATTAGGCATGTGGGTTTTGCCTTCATATTTTTGCTGCTGCAGAATTATGGGTAAAGGGATATTTGCTACAGAATAACAGTTTTGTTGTTTAAGCTTATAACACAGATTTATTAAAAGGGATAAAGCAATCGTTGCTTACCTTTAGAAATACTGCCATGACAGCTAATCCATCCCGCTGCCGAGCAGCCTCAACAAAAGTGGAATATTTGTCCGAGTTCCAGTGAACCACATGAAGCTGAAAGGCAAAAGCACAAATAGTGTCAATTCCCACTGAACTGGTGCAATTACAATTAACATGCAATTGTACTAGTGTTGAGGTTTCTACTTCACCTGTTTATATTCAGACGCATTCAATTTTCCAGCTGCAAATATTTATGTTTATTGAAATCTGGAAATATATAATCATACAAAGGGCAACAACAAGCACTGATGTGGCTGGGATTTGAACAGATATGAGAATGGCACAATTAACAGTGTTTTTACATTCCAGGTACAGCAGTTACTATTAAAAGTCAAAATTTAGCAACAGTTACCACCATCTGAAATACTGTGGATACTCACTGTTCTAAATATTGGAAAGTACTGCAATTTCATAGGCCAAAATTTTCAAACATTGAAGGCTAAAATTAGGCTCTTAAATCCACATTTAGTAGAGCTGGTAAAAATAAGTGGTGGAATAAAATTATGCAAATTTCATCAGCATTTTCCCCTCCCCTGCCCCATTTCCTCAGTCAAAATTTCAGCAAAACATTGATCAGCTTTACAGCTGATCATGAAATGAGGAGGGGGATGAGAAATGAAATTTTCACAAAAAAAATCTCCCTCCTCCCCTCTTTTTTCTCAAATTTAAATTTTTTTATGAAATTTTTTCAAAGAAAACTTGAAGTTTGGGGGAAAAATTACCAGCTTTTGGATTTAGGCATCTAAATAAAAGTGGCCTGATCTTCAGAGGTGCTGAGCACCTGCATTTCCAATTGATTTCTGACTGGGAATGTTTTGTGGTAGATTTGTAATGAGCAACTCCTCGCTTGTTTGATGTGTAATTGCTTGGAAGCTCCACGCAGACTGGTCCAAAGTTTGGAAGATCCACTCTGGCCAGTCCTAGGATTGCCATGATTTGGCCAGGTAAACAACAAAGTGATCTTTGCCCCAGTGCCCTCCAACCCCTCCCACCAAGCCATGCTCCCCAAAATCATGTTCGTATTCCCCTGTCAGGAGTCCTCAAGTCTCTACAGAAGGAGCTAAGTCACAGAGTCAGATGTCTCTCCTCCCTTGTTCAGAGTACTGCTGTTCTCGGCACTACCATGCTGTTGAGTGTAGACAAAGTAATTCTTATATAGCACTTATTATTTTCAAAGTACTGTACAAGAATTATCTAATTAATCTCATAAGATTTACTAACTCACCCAGAGTCTATAAGATCAAAGTAGTTGAAGATCAAATTTTTCAAAAGAGGCTTTTAATTTTGGGTCCATCTTTAGGTTTTCAGAACCTGATTTTCAGAGGTGCTGAGAATCTGTTGCTCCCAGTGACTTCACTTGGAGCCATACTTGTTGAGCTCCAGGTGGACACACAAAAACTGGGACCACCAAAAGTAAAGGCCTCCTTAGAAAACATGGATCTTAATGGCTTGCCCGAATGAACTGCATAGGAGGCTGTGTGGGCTTGTGGATAAAACAGGGGTCTCAGAGATCTTGGTTCTAGACCCTGCCTCATACATGGACTTGGCTTTGGTAAACTGCTTAATCTCTATGGCCTTAAGGTTTCCCTATCTGTAAAATGGGTATAATAGTACTTGGTGTTGTGAGGCATAATTAACGTTTGTTAAGCTCTTAGGCCCAAACCAGCAAAGTACATAAGCATATGTTTACCTTTAAGCACGTGAAAAGTCCCATTCAAGTCAATGGAAATACCCTCATGCTTACAGTTAAACACATGAAAGTGTGTCGCTGGATTGTGGCCTTATGACTAGTCTACATGAGGAAATAGCCCAGAATAGGTAGCACAGAATAGCTCCTGTGTGGACAATCTTATTCCACACGAAGGGTGTCTGAGTGTGCCGTAGCTTAATACATTTTAGAAGTGAAGCTAAATTGCACCCAGGTGCTCTCACTGCAGAGTAAGAGTGTCCCGTTGGGGAGTTAGTACAGAATAACTATTAATCTTTAAATTCATACCCTAGCTTATTTAGCAATAGCTTCCCCGCATAGACAAGCCCTTAGATATCCTTGTAGGAAAGCTATCACAGAAGTCCAAAGTAGTATTATTAAGACCAGAAATAGAATATAGGAATTCATACCTCACTTCTCAGTCCAATAGACCATTCTGTGTGCACATGTATGCATGTTAGTATTCTGGAGTTTACAATGTCACCATCGGACCATTCACGATTTTAGATTCACAAAAGCTAGATTGAATAACTTTTAAAATGTTATATTTTGCATACACAAAGAGGAAACAGATACTTTCAATCGGAATGACTTTTATTGTGAATTAAAAAACAACAAACAAGAAAGGACAAAAAGTAAAATCCCCACAGCTAAATAAACCACACTACTCCCTGTAATTCTGCAAAAAAACAAAACAAAACAAAACAAAAAACAAGAGCTGTGAAACATTTTGGGGTAGAGCCCCATTCTCAATGGCTTGTGACTTCTCTTTTAAGGGATGTATCCCATCTTACCACCGCTCCTGCACTGCAGCTTGTTGAAGAGAACTTGGTCTGGCCAACGCGATGTCACAACACAACAGGACCGGGGAGCCCTCTTGTTTCCTGATGTCCTCTGACATGGGGCAAGCCACGTAGTCTTCTTTGCTTGTGAACTCTCTCTTTCTTCTAGCATGTGCCAATTTGGCAGAGGTGCTTTCTTGATTTGTTAGAGCATTTTCTTCAGGGAGTTCAGCACTGAAACTGCATTCTCAACTCCTGGGGTATTTCTTCTGCATGACCAGTGCTCAGCAGCCTCGATCTTAATTCTGGTTTCCTTATCCCAAAACCAAAACGATGTCTAAAGCGCTTCTTGCAGAAAGTTACCAAAATGACAAGTAGTGGGAAGCTTTTTAGACTGGCTAGAAATTCAGATATATTTTCTCCTTCCATTTGGTTTCTGAGATGGAACTTATTTTTTTTTTCAGCTAGAAATTTGGTTTTGGTACATAATGTTTTTAAGCACCTCTATTAATTCTTTATACTCCATCTCACCTGGTTCCTGTGGAAAACATAAGCCTTTAAACACTGCAAATGTCACTTTCCCCACCAGTGGTAGAAAAATTGATTTTTTTTCTTACCACTGTCCTCTATAGCATTTCCAATAAAATACTGATCAGGACTTTGTACATATATTTCAAATTGTTCCTCTTTTGCATTATAGTGAAAATCTTCCATATTTTCATAAAAATTGATTTTTAGCTTTTCTATTTTCCCTTTTTACCCAGGAAAACTCTCACTTTCTCTGAGCTATTTGTTGTTTGAGATCCCATTTTCCTAACTAAAATACTTGTTTTATTTTTCCCATACGCAAAGAGGAAACCGATACTTTCAGTCTGAATTACTTTTATTGTTGAATAATCAAAAGCAAGGAACAAGAAAGAGCAAAAGTAAAGACTCCACAAGAGAGCACACTGTGCATTTCTCCTCTGTGACATTCTGCACTAAATGGAACACTCATAATGGCTGCCTGTCTCTGTAGGCAGCATAGTCCTTAGAGATTTAAAGGTGCAGTACACAGAAAACAAAGGCATAACTGTCACATTGCTACATACACCACAAAAATAACCACCCAACTCTTCTGCAAATAGTAAAATGCACATATCCTCAGTAAGGCCGATTAAAAAACCAAATCTGCAGTTTCTATGTCAGGCTTATTTTGAGATATAACGATCCCAAAGGAAAAGTTAAAAAATAAAAACAAAAAAGATTAAAACAATTCTCAAACAATAAAAATCCTCTAAATTTTCCACTTATAATATCTCATGTACTTCTTGTCTTATCCTTTGCCAAAGTCTCCAAATATATTCTCCTTTGGCATAGGATCACACATGAAAAATTTCAGGCATATTGCTTATGTTTTGAAAAGTTAGGGAGCCAAAATCTGTCTTATAATGGAACGCTAGTCACAGCCTTAACTACAGAGAGACTATGGCCTCTATATAATTCAATGCAATGCCTTACCTCGGCTGCATACTTCTTTCCATCCACTGCATGCTCAGAGCCAATGTCATCGCTGGCCCCCCAATGAAAGTGAATTTGGCGCAGCCTATAGCTTCCATTGAGTGGTCCCCCTCTCAGCACTATAAACCAGATAATAAGAGATTTTTAGCCAAGGGGACATGCATTATAATAAAAGCTTCCGACCTACACTTTCATGCATACAGCACCATTTCAGGATCCAGGCTCTCAAATAGATTCTCGAAGCATATATATTAATAGGATACCACTACTGCACAACAACAAGAGAAAGAAGAGAATATGCCCTTCAAAATTTAAGTTATATATGTAAATTAGCTAATTACTACTACTAGGGGATGAACTGAGATAACCCAATGTGTCTTACTATAGGCAGGAAGCAGTACCTTTTTTTTTTTTAATTCTTCTGAGAAATTGAATTATTATTATGCTGCCTACTTGGCGGCTACATTCTTATCAACACATTTCAAAGTGATACTGACAACCAAATTAGGCCTAAAGATTAGGTTCCATAAAAGGTAGATTCTTTAATAAAATTGGAGGAAAATAGGTCAGTTGGTTAAAAATTTATTTCAACATTCCTTGGCACTGTTTGAAACCCAGATGAAACCGTACTGTACCAAAGCATGAAAACCAGGCAGTGAAAATGACTATAAACAAAGTGAAGCTAATAATGCATCTGTTTTGTCCAAGTTCAAAATTAACGACATGTAAAATGTAAATAAATGGCACATTAACAACATATGTAAAGGCATGTGTGTGTGTTATTTGTCTAAATATTTGTCTCTTTAAAAAAAACCAAACCAACTAGAGATGGATCCAAACCAAAATCCAAGATCAGAACTTTAGATCCGATCTCATCTGCAGTCTCTTTCTGTAATGCCCTGACGCTGAATCCCCCGCCTCTTAGAAAAAGCTTCATCTTGATTTCAGCTCTCCCCTACCCCTCCACACCCGCCCGAAAAAGGACTGTTGTGCTCTGGGGTTCTAGCTAGACCCATTATAGAGATATAGAAAAGAGGATCCAGTCATCTAAGGCACAGGCTGGTAGGGCGTACACCAACAACAAAAGTGGAGGGTAAAAAGGAGGAACAAATGAGCATTCGTTTAGCACAAAGTGAAGATATCAAGAACAAAAATCCACCAAAGGATGAAAAGAGAAGAATTTCTGTATTTGCCTCTACTCTAATGCTAGGAGTCTGGGTAACAAACAAAAGGATTTGAAACTGCACATTTATGAGCATAGGTTCAACCTAGTTGGTATTACTGAAACCTGGTGGGAAAAATTGCATTACCGGAATGTTAAAATCACTGGCTATAACCTATTTAGGAAGGATTGAGTGGACAAAGGAGGAGCGGGAGTGGCACTGTCAAAAATGGCATTACTTGTTTCCGAGTCACTGACAACTCAGAAGTAAATGACCTTGAATGCTTATGGATCGATGTTCTAACAGATAAAGTACATGATAGGATACTAGTTGGTGTAATCTAAAATACCCACACCAAATCAGAGTGGAGAACAGGATGACTGGCTTCTTAAATAGGAAAAAAATATAGATGACAATTTCTTAACTCAAGAAGTGTTGCGTCCAACATGGTGGAATTCTATATTACACCCTCATCTTGATATATAAAGAGGAACTGATCACAGAACAAAAAGTTACTTAGATACAATTTATCATGATTTGATTATATTTACTGGTATATTCAAAGAGAATAAAATCCCAGCCAATTACACACTGCTTTAAAAGAGCCAGTGTCACAAAGTTTAAAACAATCAATGATCTGAAAGAAAACATAAAATCATCACTGATAAATTTGCAGACGACACAAAGATTGGGGAAGGGTAAATAACGAAGAGGACAAGTCACTGATACAGAGCAATCTGGACTAGTTGGTGAGCTGTTTGTAATCAAACAATATGCATTTCAATACAGTGAAATGTAAGGTCATACATCTAGAAACAGGGAATGTAAGTCATTCTTACAGAATGGGGGACTCTATCCTGGGACACAGGAAAAAGGTGTGGAGATTGTGATGAATAATCAGCTGAACATGAGCTCCCAGTGCAACATGGCTAAAAGGGCTAATCCTTGGACGCACAAACAGGAATGTCAAGTAGGAGTCATGAGGGTATATTACTTCTGCATTTGGCACTGGTGCGACCACTGTTGGATGCTGCGTCCAGTTCTTATGGCCACAGTTCAAGAAGGATGTTGAAAAACTGGAGAGCGTTCAGAGAAGAGCCACAAGAATGACTAAAGGATTGGAAAACATGTCTGATAGTGAGAGAATCCTGGAGCTCAATTATTTAGCTTAACAAAGAGAAGGTTAAGGGGTGATTTGATCACCGTCTACAAGTACCTATTGGGGAACAGAAATTTGATAATAAAAGGCTCTTCAATCTAGCAGACAAAGATAAACAAAGATCCAATGGCTGGAAGTTGAAGCTATTCAGACTAGAAAAAACAGATTAGACAAATTCAGACTAGAAATAAAGCACTTTTTTTTTTTTAAACAGTGAGGATAATTAACCATTGGAACAATTTACCAAGGGTTGGGCTGGATTCTACCTTGCTGGAATTTTTAAAATCAAGATTGGATTTTTTTTTTAAATATATGCTCTTGTTCAAACACAACTATTATGCTTGTGTTTGAACAAGAGCATTGGTCCTTATTGAATTTCATCCTATTATCTCCAGTTTGTCCAGATCGTTTTGAATTATAATCCTTATCCTCCAAAGCACTTGCAACCCCTCCCAGCTTGGTATCGTCCACAAACATTATAAGTGTACTCTCTATGCCATCATCTAAATCATTGATGAAGATATTGAACAGAACTGGACCCAGAATTGATCCCTGCAGTACCCCACTCATTATGCCCTTCCAGCATGACTGTGAACTACTAATAATTACACTCTGGGAACAATTTTCCAACCAGTTGTGCACCCACGTTATAGTAGCTCCATCTAGGTTGTATTTCCCTAGTTTGTTTATGAGGTCACGCGAGACAGTATCAAAAGCCATACTAAAGTCAAGATATACCACATCTACTGCTTCCTCCACAAGGTTTGTTATCCTATCAAAGAAAGCTATCGGGTTGGTTTGACACAATTTGTTCTTGACAAATCCATGCTGACTGTTAATTATCACTTTATGATGTTCTAGATGTTTGCAAATTGATTGCTTAATTATTTGCTCCATTATCTTTCCGGTTACAGAAGTTAAGCTGACTGATCTGTAATTCCCCTGGTTGTCCTTATTTCCTATTTTATAGACGGGCACTATATTTGCCCTACTCCAGTCCTCCATGACTTTTCAAAGATAATCGCTAATGGCTCAGATATCTCCTCAGTCAGCTCCTTGAATATTCTAGGATATATTTCATCAGGCCCCAGTGACTTGAAGACATCTAACTTGTCTAAGTAATTTTTAACTTGTTCTTTCCCCCCTCATTGAGTAACAGGCCTACCTTGTCCTTGGTCTTCTTCTTGCTTCTAATACATTTGTAGAATGTTTTCTTGTTATCCTTTATGTCTCTAGCTAGTTTGATCTCATTTTGTGCCTTGGCCTTTCTAATTTTGTCCCTACATACCTGTTATTTGTTTATATTCATCCTTTGTAATTTGACCTAGTTTCCACTTTTTGTAGGACTTTTTTTAATTTTTAGATCATTGAAGATCTCCTTGGTAAGCCAGGGTGATCTCTTGATATACTTCCTATCTTTCCAAGCAGTGGGATAGTTTGCTCGTGCCCTTCATAATTTCTCTTTGAAAAACTGCCAATTGTCTTCAATTGTTTTTCCCCTTAGACTTGCTTCTCGTGGAATCTTACCTATCAATTCCCTGAGTTTGCTAAAGTCTGCCTTCTGGAAATCCATTGTCTTTATTTTGCTGTTCTCCCTCCTACCATTCCTTAGAAACATGAACTCTATCATTTCATGATCACTTTCACCCAAGCTGCCTTCCACTTTCAAATCCTCAACCAGTTCCTCCCTATTTGTCAAAATCAAATCTAGAACAGCCTCTCCCCTAGTAGCTTTCTCCACCTTCTGAAATAAAAAAATTATCTCCAATACATTCCAAGAACTTGTTGCATAATCTGTGCCCTGCTGTGGTATTTTCCCAACAGATGTCTGAGTAACTGAAGTCCCCCATCACCACCAAGTCCTGTGCTTTGGATGATTTTTATATCTCTGAATACACACTTGTTTGAGTATTGTTTGAACACACACTTGTAAGCTAAAAAAAACACAGTATTTAAACCAAATAAGTAGGGCTGTCAAGTGATTAAAAAAATTAATCGTGATTAATCATGCATTTAATTGCACTTTAAACAATAATAGAATACCATTTATTTAAATATTTTGGATGTTTTCTACATTTTCAAATATATTGATTTACAACACAGAATACAAACTGTACAGTGCTCTCTTTATATTTATTTTTTATTACAAATATTTGCAATGTGAAAATAATAAAATAAATAGTATTTTTAAATTCCCGCATTACATGTACTGTAGTGCAACCTCTTTATCATGAAAGTTGAACTTAAAAATGTAGAATTATGTACAAAAATAATTGATTCAAAAACAAAACAATGTAAAACTGTAGAGCCTGCAAATCCACTCAGTCCCATTTCTTGTTCAGCCAACCGCTCAGACAAACAAGTGTGTTCGCACTTGTGGGCAGCATTTTCTCCCACTTCTTGTTTACAATGTCACCTGAAAGTCAGAACAGGCATTTGCATGGCACTGTTGTAGCCGGCATCACAAGGTATTTATGTGCCAGATGCGCTAAAGATTCATATGTCCCTTCATGCTTCAACCACCATTCCAGAGGATGTGTCCATGCTGATGATGGGTTCTGCTTGAGAAGGATCCAAAGCAGATTATTTTCATCATCTGAGTCAGATGCCACCAGCAGATGGTTGATTTTCTTTTTTGGTGGTTCGGGTTCTGTAGTTTCCGCATCAGAGTGTTGCTCTTTTAAGACTTCTTAAAGCATGCTCTACACCTTGTCCCTCTCAGATTTTGGAAGGCACTTTAGATTCTTGGGTCAAGTGCTGTAGCTATTTTTATAAATTTGACATTAGTAACTTCTTTGTGTTTTATCAAATCTGCAGTGAAAATGTTCTTAAACGAGCAACATGTGCTGGGTCATCATTTGAGACTGCTATAACATGAAATATTTGGCAGAATGTGGGTAAAACCGAGCAGGAGACATACAATTCTCCCCCAAGGAGTTCAGTCACAAATTTAATTAACACATTTTTTTTTAAATGAGCATCATCAGCATGGAAGCATGTCCTCTGGAATGGTGGCCAAAACATGAAGGGGAATACAAATCTTTAGCATATCTGGCACGTAAATACCTTGCAATGCCGGCTACAAAAGTTCTTCAAAAGTACGCCTGTTCTCACTTTCAGGTGACATTTTAAATAAGAAGTGGGCAGCATTATCTTCCATAAATGTAAACAAATTTGTTTGTCTTAGTGATTGGCTGAACAAGAAGTAGGACTCAGTGGGCTTGTAGACTCTGAAGTTTTACATTGTTTTGTTTTTGAGTGCAGTTATGTAACAAAAAAAATTAACATTTGTAAGTTGCACTTTCATGATAAAGAGAATACACTACAGTACTTGTCTGAGGTGAATTGAAAAATACTATTTCTTTTATCATTTTTACAGTGCAAATATTTGTAATAAAAATAATATAAAGTGAGCACTGTGCACTTTGTGTTCCATGTTGTAATTGAAATCAATATATTTGAAAATGTAGAAAAACTTCCAAAAATATTTAGTAAATTTTACTTGGTATTCTATTGTTTAACAGTGTGATTAAACCTGGGATTAATCGCGATTAATTTATTTTAGTTAGTTACATGAGTTAACTGTGATTAATCGACAGCCCTACAAATAAGCAAACTGAAAAATATGCTTTGTTCAAGGAAATATTCAATAATTCATCAAAAAGTTCCCAATACAATTATCTGTAACCCTTTTTCAAAAGATATCACTGTTCCATTTCTGTTTACAAACATTTTCATTCAAAATAATTAGGGTTACCATTCTTCCGGATTCTGCCGGACATGTCCGGCTTTTTTGAGTTAAAAATAGCATCCGGGGGGAATTTGTAAATATCCGGATTTCCCCCCCATGCAGAGCGCGCGCGCTGACAGGGCAGCCGGCTGGATCGTGCCACTCACACGGGGCTTTGGCAGCCAGAGCCCCTCCTCTGCTTCCCCCTCCTCTCCCCTGCAACTTGAGATCACTCCCCTCTTCTCTCTCCCTCCCTCCCCCTCCCTGCATTCACAGATCGCCGGCCGGCCATTCGCATCAGGCCTCCGGCAGTCTGGAGCTCCTCCCCCTGCTCCTGCTCCCCCTCCCCTGCTGCCCAGCACGCCGCTCCACAGCACTCTGTTCTGAGCGGCACAGTAAGGGGGCCAAGGGGTCGGAGAAGGGGCAGGGAGGTTCTGGAGGGGGCAGTCAAGAGACAGGGAGCAGAGGGGTTTAGATGGGTCGAGAGTTCTGGGGCGGGGGCTGTCAGGGGGTGGGGAGTGGTTGGATGAGGCGTGGGAGTCCCTGGTGTCTGTCTGGGGGTGGGGGTGTGGATAAGGGTTGGGGCAGTCAGGGGACAGGTAGGGGATAGGGTCCTAGGGGGCCAGTTAGGATGGGGGGAAGGTCTCAGGAGGGGGCAGTCAGGGGACAAGGAGTGGGGGGGAGGGTTGAGGGTTCTGAGGGGAGCAGGAAGTGGGAGGGAGTGGAAGGGCAGGGGCAGGGCTAGGGCAGGATGGGGGCGGGGCTCCTCCCATCCTCTTTTTTTGATTGTTGAAATATGGTAACCCTAAAATAATGTCTGCTGTGCTGGAATCTTCATATGGTTACAGCTTCTGCATAAGTAATGTGGCATGTACTGCCTTGTGAATATACTGCACAATAGGGTAAAGTGTAACAATGTTTACAGAAGTTTACAAGTTTCAACAATTGGGAAGATATAGTAAATGCAAGGAAATGAAACTGTTGCCTAAAGCAGTTCCTCATTCCTCTGTAACATAGGAAGGAAGGATTCTCCTGCTCAGCTTTCTTTGTAAATCTTATTTTGGTCCATGCTCACTTTCCTAACTATCCTAAACTTGGTAATACATACAAACAACCTTTGATCTTACAGCACCTGCTAATGAAACTGAGTTACAAAGAAGGGTTTGAGAATATTTACTCATACATCCTGACATCCTGCAAATGTCAAACAGAAAAATCAAAACACTTCTTTACTAAATTGGGTTTATTTTCTCACTTGCCTTTATAACAAAGGCTTCTCTCACCAACCTTCTCCAAGTAGTGAGGCAGTATCTGAAATTAACAGATCAACCACAAGAGGCTTCTCTCACTTCTGAAGGGCTACAGTTTTATTGTTTGAAAAAGAGCTTTCTGTAGATGCAAGCTTGCCTCTCTGCTATGCAAAGGAGGCATTCTGAAAACCCATATGAAGTCAGTAAATATAACAGAATGTTTTTTGGACAGGACAACCTCTGAGCCTCCATAGTTGTTTGCAAAAGGGGAGTCAATGGGTGTTTAAAACAAACAAACAAAAAAAAGAATGGGACAATGACATTTCTTAGAAAGAAAAAGGATCCTTTGACATATAATTTCTTCGTTCTTTATTGATCAACTCTTGACATGAGTTCAGAGCTAGGACATAAATCATGCAATACCTGCATTTAAATGCAGATAAGAGACTTGAGTGGACCTTGTTCACTTGAATGGACCTGCAATAAGACACAAAAGCTCCTTCCATGCTGTGGAGCAGTGTTTGAAAAATGTGTTATAAAACAATTCAAACTGGGGGTTGGACATTGTACGGATGAGACCATAACATGTGGGAAAAAATTAACAGAATGTGATCCTAGGCATTTTCTGAGAACTGTGATTTAGAACTTCTTTAAGAAATCATCTCAAAATTGCAACATACTGAAAAGCAGGAAAAAGTATCGCTTTTGGACTCAGAAAACTACAGTGTTACTGTTCATATGACATCATATAATCTCCAGTGTAACATACCCAGACTGTACTCCATTCATGAGACAGGGAAAGAAAGAAAGTACAATTAAATATGAACAGAAACAAACCTGATTTATTTTCTGTGTCATCAAATTCTACACTTGTGGAGTGTCCATTGTTGAGGATGACTTTAGCAGAAGTTGGATCATAGTTAGGGTTAATAGGAGGTAGAGCGGGGTCATATTTGGTTTCTTCAGTTTGGATGTCAATGGGGGACTGACGGTCTCCATTAGCAACAGGGAAAACCTCTTTCCAGCGAGCAGGCCCTAAAATTCATTAGAAGAAAGTGAGGAAGAAGGGGAGAGAAGGTGTTTTAAATTAATTAATTAATTAATTATACTGTGTTTGCTATTTTCATAGAAAAAAGGAATTGACAAATGAGAAAATCAATCACAAGAACTCACCTGGATTATCTTAATTAATTGTATCTATTTATTTTAAATTAAAAACAGAAAGATTCACCAAAGAATGGAATTCAATATATCATACAGCTGTCTCTGCTGGGTCATCAGACAGCTCTTTGGTCTCATCACAGATCCTTCTCCAGTCTAATTGATCAAACACAAATTAGAACATTAGTTTGGCACTTTTTGCCTCTTCCCAGGTATTTCTAGCCAATCGGAATGCAGCAGGCACCCGTACATTCAGTAAGCTCAGAGATACTTAACTCTTCATCTGAGCAACACCAATATCTAACAAGTTTTCCTTCCAGTCCAGTGTCTTGCCTCCGGCGTACTGTGAGCTTCAACTAAATTTTCAGGCCACCAAAGACCTTGCTTTAATCCAACACAGTGTCTCATCTAGACCTCAGTACATTTTCTTTCCCCAAGGCCCCCTCTTCATTGTATCCCTGGAGGCAGAAGCTCTGACAGTGTGGCCCCAATGGATCTACACTGTCATAAAATAGGGGGATGCCAAGAGAGGCAGAGGGCTTCTGCACAGAATTTTCATGTGGGGATTGTGACATTGCACTCCATATAATTTTATAAAAAATATGCTACAGCTGTGCATATCTCTCTATCAGTATTATAGAGGGCGGACCATTTATGAGTTTACACTGTATAAGTTTTATACAGAGTAAAACAGGTTTGGATCCCATTGGGAGCTGGGTGTCTGGGTGCTAGAGACAGGAGCACTTCTTAAGCCGTTTTCAGTTAAGTCTGCAGCTTTGGGGGCGTGGTTCAGACCCTGGGTCTGTGTTGCAACAGAGTAGCATGTCTGGCTCAACAAGACAGGGTTCTGGGGTCCCCAGCTGGCAGGGGAAACGGGCTCAGAGGTAGTCTCAGCATATCAGGTGGCAGTCCCAAGGGGGTCTCTGTGACCCAACCTGTCACAGGGATGCTGGGGTTTGTGCATAGACAAGTTAAGTACTTCCATTCTGATCGTGCAGGACACTTCTCCAGCATTTGTTATCACTGATCAAATTCTCCTGTCCCACTAGCCGCAGAGGTGGATGAAGGTTCCTTGAAATGGCTCAACTCATACTTCTGTGTTCAGGGGCATTCTGGACAACTGTATCTCCATCTTTAGAGCCCATACAAGAGGAGTTCCATAAGGATCAGTCCTTTCCCCCTTCTTGCCCCGGCCTCCATTTTATTCAGGAAGGAGCCAATGGATGAGATGGTGAGGCCAAATAGGTTGAGGTGTCAACAGTATACAGATGACACCTCGCTCTATATCTCCTTTATGACAAATGTAAACAGCACCATCTCTCAGCATGCTCAGTGTTTAGCCAAAATCCTCTATAACCTCCTCCTTCTCCCATTATTAAGGGCATCTGCTTTCAAAATTGTTAAGTCTGTCTGTGCTTGGGGTCCTTTAGGTCTCCTCAGTGCTACCATAAACCCAAACAGAGATTGAGGGGGGGCGGGGAGTTGGGGGGAACCCACACAAACAAAGAATAAGGACCAGAAGTTTATATCCCATCCTGTCACTCTCAGAATTAGGGCACAATAATCCAGTCATTTATAACCTTTTGATTATTACAATTTGTTATACATAGGCTTAACAGAATTTGATGTTATATAATTTTGATGGATACTATCAATGTTTATTTTTAAGCTTTTTCCATTTTTATTTATTTAAATTTTCACAGTTGCATAAAACTGTGGGGTGAGGAAGGGGTTAACATCACATGTAAAAATATACAAAGTAAACATCCTTAAATCAAATAAATTCTCAATCAGCATTTTTCTTACTGTGCCTATCTGTAAATTTCAATTATTATGGATACAAATATTTTTTCATCAGTTTGTGTGTGTGACATTTACTAACATTCAGTGATAAAAATATAATTCTTCCCAAACTAATTACATTCAGGAATAAAGCCACACATACTGAACAAGTTCCACCTGGTATAAAATGCAGCAGCCCGTCTATTTAATAACACAGGTTACGATACACTCTGTGCACTGGTTGCCTATTGAATACAGAGTCCAGTATGAGATCTCTGTCCCAATAATTAATGTTCTCTTCAAGACTGGCCCTAACTACTAAAAACACCCTCCTTCCTTCAGTCATCAAGACCTGCCATGGCAGCAACATTCCATTAAGACAACAAAATGGTTTATCAGTAGGGGCAGATTCATGCGTGCAGGAGACAGTATGTTCCCAGGAGCTGGGTCTGGACCACGGAGTTCATTCCTGTGTATAATAAGACTAACCATGATTCTCACATATTCATAACTAAATGTCAAGCTCATCATTCTGAATTGTCTTTCCTTTAGTAACATCTTCATGCATCCCAATAAAAAACAAACAAAACTATTTCTCTTACAGACTAGAAACAAATGCTGCTTTGAATGATTCTTCTAGCTCTTGTTGATCTGGTGGACTCAGATATGGGCATTTGACTTTTGATGTATTTAAACAAGTTCTACTGATTTGTCTCAATAACCTTGGCTATCTGGTCTACATATTCCCTGGCTTTCCATATGTATAATAATAATAACAACAATAATTTGTGCTTTCTTTGTAAAACTGAATGAATTTCCATTTTATTTTGTTCATAAAAGGTTAGAAAATAATGACAGGCAAAATAAAGAATTTTGGTATAAATCTGTGATAATCAGGAAACAATAGTACAAGAGATATACCGAACTGAGTGTAGGGTTATCACTTTTAAGGAGACACAAAAGAGATATTCTTGATATTGAGCAAAATTTATTAGTGAGGAGTTAGCTATGTAGGGCCAGCTTCTGATATTTGTTTTTTTGAGTAGCCCCATTAGTACTTAGTATGAGTCAGAGTATCAGAATCTGGCTATATAGATTTCAGGGTATAAATTAAAAGCAGGAACAATATTAGAAGCAATGGTAAATCAGATGCTGAGTAGTTGTCTCACTGTGCAAATAGATTTCAATGGGAGTAAGGAAGTATGAGAACCTAGCCCATGGTAACTTGTGTTGGCACTACTATTATCCTCTGATAAAAGTGCAATTGACTTGTCTCCTCAGTACTAGAAATGTACCAGTATCACAATGTTAGCCCACTATTACACCGCTAAATTCATTCTAGGGATGCTATTAAATACTCTTGAAACGTCAGCTTCATTCACACCAGGCTTGCTTGTCTCCATCATTCAAACTAGCTGTGCCCTTTCCTCATCCATTTTGGCTCCATCTTCCCCTAGCAAATTCAGTGCTTTACAACTAATGGCCTAAATCTGAGAGGTGTTGAGTACCTTTCACATTCATTGATTTCAAATGGAGTGCTTGGTACTCAGTACCTCATAGGCCCTAAAATAGCATCAATGTGTCATGTCAGGGCAAGTCTACACTGGCAGAGCTAAAGCAGCACTTTAACATGCCTTGTGTGGTCGCGGCACAGAGTTCTCCCAGCACTCTAAAAAACCCACCTCAATGAGGGACGTAGCTCCTAGCGCTGGGGCACTGTTTACACTGGCGCTTTACAGTGCTGCTTTACACCCGCGCTTGGGGGGGGTGTTTTTTCACACTCCTGAGCAAGAAAGTTGCAGTGCTGTTAATTGCCAAGGTAGACAAGCCCTCAGTGTGTCCAAAAACGCTTACTTGAGTTTTAGGAAAGCAGTTTTAGAAAGCACTTTCTCCTCTAATCACTTCCATAAAGAGAGTACAGCTCTCCTAAACAACAAAGGGAAAATGCACAGAATAGGTCTCAGAGAAGAGCAATAATTTACATGTCAGATAAAAGGCTGACTGCACACAGCATAGAGGTAGAGACTTTCGGTCTGGGATTGGTCCGAGGGTAATTTTTAGTTACTAAGATGGAATCTCAAAATCTATTAACTAAATAGCAGAATTTACAATACACATCTTACTAGCTTGAAATGGCAGATCAAGAAGTCATCATAGCTTTTTACTTCAAATGCAACTATTTTAAAGTCATAAGTTGACAGCCAAAAAACCTAATGTTACCAATCTAATGTTAACAATTTGTAACCACCACTAAATAGTTTGTAATCGAATGCCTAAAACACAACAAAACCAGATTAATAATTTATTTTGAAATTATTACGGACAACGACTTCATCCTTAAGTGGGAGAGAATTTTCTTGTGAATTATTGTAACAAAGACAATTTTATCTTCTCTGGACTTGTGACAGATAAAGTAGGTGTAGGGAGGTCATATTACCTCTGTATTTGGCACTTTGCAAGCACTACTGGAAAACTGTGTCCGGTTCTGGTGTCCACAATTCAAGAACGATGTTGATAAATTAGAGAGGGTTCAGAGAAGAGCCATGAAAATGTTTGAGAGATTGGAAAACTATGTCCTGTAGTGACAGGAGCGCAATCTATTTAGCTTAACAAAGAAAGGTTAAGGGGTGACTAGTTCACAATCTGTAGGTACATTATGGGGAACAGAAATTTGATAATTGGCTCTTTAATCTAGCAGACAAATATAAAACAAAATCCAATGGCTGAAAGTTGAAGCTAGACACATTCAGATTGGAAATAAGGCATACATTTTTGGAACAACTCACCAAAGATTGTGTTGGACTCTCCATCACTGGCAATCAAGATTGGATGCTTTTCTAAAAGATAGGCTGTAGTTCAAAAAGGAATTATTTCAGGTAAATCCTATGGCCTGGACTTTGCAGGAGGCCCGAATAGATGTCACAGTGGTCCCTTTTGGCTTTAGAATATATGAAAAGGCCTGATTCTGCAAGTCTGGTTGGAAACTGTTTTGGTACATAAAATACATGGACCAGTACAAGGCATTAGCTAGCTGTGCACCCAAAAGTTTACTTTGGTTTAAAAAAGAAATTGCAGAAATATGTAACAGAGATGTGCATCTGCTTTTCTACTTTTCATAAGTCAAGAGGGTCAGATTCACTTGTTTGCTTCAGCTGCTTTGCATCACTCTAGTGACACAAAGCAACCATAAACTTTGGCTTTTCAGTGAATCTGGCCAGAAGGTCAAAATGTTTTAGTCTTTAACTTTTCTTATTTATACATTATGGCCAAATTCAGTGCTGACCTACATTCTGTGAAACCCTATTTAAAATCAATGGGATTTAATGGATTGTTAATCACTGCAGAATTTGATCTGTGACCTATATGCCTCCATTGTGCCAGGAAGATGTTGTTTGCTTCCCCCATTCTAATGTTGAATGCACTTCCTTAAAGGAAAGTCGATACACACTTTCACAATATGCCCACATGACTTGCCTAAGAAACTCAAAGTAATCTGTAACGGATATACTAATTTATTTCCTTACATTTCTGGATATACTAAGAGAACTTTGCTCCAAAACCTGTTCTTTGGACTCATGCCTTTTCTTTCTGGTGACGGTCATCAGGAAAATACTGTATCCTTTGTTAGTGGAAATTGTCTATACTTAAGGAATGGCCAAATGTTGAGTGCTCTAAAGGAAAAATGTGTAGCAGTGGCTCAAGAAACTATCACTTGACACTGACAGTCTGGCCAGATATTGCACAGTATCTAATTTTCCATTTTTGGTTAAGTTTATGGATAAGGTTGTAATGAGGAGGACTCAGATCTTCTTGACTCTTGTCAATCTGACTTCAGACCTTGTTACTGTAATGGGACTGCACTACTAGCATTGGTCACTGATCTCTTACCAATGTAAAAAAATATGAGGTGATATCCTGTCTCTATTGAAGTAAGTGTCAAACTCCCATTGACTTCACTGGGGCCAGGAATTCATCGCAGGTGTCCATGATGATGTTAATGGATCTATCAGATACCTTCAAAACCATGCAGATCTGAGTGCAAGTAGATGGGTCTGCCTTGCAGTTATTTCATTCTCTTCTGAGGCTTGGTCTTGGTCTACACGAGGAACTTATGTTGGTATAACTATGTCGCTCAGGGGTGTGGAAAATCTGCACCCCGAGTGACACAGTTATACCAACCTAATCCCCAGTGTAGACAGTGCTATGTCAACGGATGGGCTTCTCCCATTGACATAGCTACTGCTTCTCGAGGAGGTGGATTAACTACAGCAATGAGAGACACTCTCACGTTGGCGTAGCTAGCATCTTCTCTAAGTGCTACAGCAGTGCAGCTGCACCGGTGCAGCGCTGTAAGTGTAGATAAGCCCTGCCAAAGAGATCCCAGAAAGTATTTTGTTAAGAATCCCAGGGACTGTTAAATGATTATATAGCAACAGTGACCAGGATGTTTTTCCCTCCATCTGAAGATTGCATTCCTTTATCGTGCTTGCAAAGCTCACTTTACGTCACCCATGTGTTTGTCACTTCAAGATTAGGCTATTGCAATCCGCTCCACATAGGGCTACACCCTGTATCAACTTGGAAACTGAAGCTCATGAAGAGGGCAGCCATGCCTGTGTTAAGAGATGCAGCTTGTCATGATGAGCACATGATACCAGTGCTCCAAAATCTCCTCTGGCTGCCTGTTGATTTTCAGGTGGCGTTAAAAGTAGTGGCGTTCACCTATAAAACCCTAAATATCTTGGGACCTGACTATCAGAGATACTATATGCATTTGGGGGGCAGGATTCAGGTGAGGGTGTAGATTTATATTTGTAGACATGAATTGGTGTTTTGCAGGAGCTGAGTTGAGGATATTCAGTTTGTGGACTGGCTTCTTTTATACACAGTAAGGTTGTTGGTTTGTTGTTGGATTACATCTTTGATTATTTGTAAAGAGCAACTATAGCATGGATTTATCCCACACAAAAAACTTAAATTGAAGTTAAGGTCACTAGCACATCACAGTGCTCTAAGAAAATATTGTTTCACATGAATGCTAGCGCTAAATAAAATAAAAGTTAGAAATGCAGGAAATGCAGAGTTCAGCGTGTACTTCTCAAACCAGACACTGAAATTAACCTACCTATGGGGGCAGAGGTATGCCCTGAGAAACTCAAACATTCTTATTACTTTATCCACAACAGTTTAATTTTTATCAGTGACCACAAAAAGACTTTAATCCTAAAATAGCTGCAACAGCTTTATAACTTTCTTTACAGTCATACACAGTACACATACATGCATTTTTCAAATTCCTTATTAGAGAAATAGCATGGTAAAGGTAACCATTCCCCATTTGTCATTAAGGGGCCAATCCTGTCAAGTGCTGAGAGCACCCATCTCTTCATAGGAGGTGCTAAGCACCTTACAGGACCGAGCCCTATTCCACATGGCAGCCAGTTCTCCAAGTGCCACTACTGTGCCTCCCTATATTAATATCAGATGCCTACATCATGTGAAATAGGAGCACTTACAAGAACAAAGCAAAGATTAGTGTGGTGACAAAGTAACACTCTTAGTATTGGTGACATAAATGCATTGGACAATCTGCATTGACCATTTCATCCAGTTGGAACCAGGGAATATAGTGTATATCTATAGCTATATAGCATACCAGTGAGTATAGTGCATCTCAATATCTATCTATCTATTTATACACTGGGACATACACACACAAATACAGTGTAATGCTTGAAAAAATTCACTTGCTCTCTTAACAGTGATAAGCAGAAAGCTTTTCCTGGCAGGTGGCACCTAAACCATTAATTTGTGCAAACATAAACTTTCATTTTTTTTAAAAAAAGCTTTCATCTTTATGGTTGCAAAGATAACATTCAAAATGTGAACTGAATGTAAAGCATTGCAGTTTTACCTTCCTGAATCTGCAGGGAGACAGCTTTAGTGTCTTTGCTGCTCTTCAAATAGCAGCTTTGCCAAGCAGCAGCACCCTGCTATTTGAAGAGCAGCAAAGACACTAAAAAGCTGTCTCCCTGCAGAATCAGGAAGACACAACTGCATTGGCAGAATGAAATTAAAACTAGGTAGTTTATAGAACATACTCGGAATCATGTAGAGCAGTGAAACTGTCAAGAATCACATCAATTTCATACTTCTGCTGCTCGGCAAAGCTCTGAGCAAGAGCAGAGACAGGCAATGGAGAATCAAAAAGATGAGGAACTAAACAAAAATGTTGCTAGGGAGGAGTAGAGAGCAGATACCACTTCCACAGATTGATTAATGAAGATCTGCCTGTCTAGCAACAGCTGGGGGCTCTCAAGGGGGAGAAGAGAGAGAATATTGGTGGGGTTAAGGGGTGTGTAGAGTTTCAAGTTTATCAGTCATCAAGCAGAGCCTGATATGAGAGATTGGGGCCTCCATAGGGTCCAGGGACAGAAAACTGATAGACAGTCCAACACCCTCCCCTTTCCCAGAAGCTGGGAGGGTGGAGAAGAAGGAGAGGAAGGATATCTTATCTGGACCTTGCAGGTGGGGCCCAGAATTCTTGTTTTTTAGGTTTCATGCTCCATAAAGGAGGAGTTGTCATACATTATTCAATTTGGGGGAGGGGAGAGGGACAGGATAGAGTATAATGTATAACAATAGAGAACAAATCTAATCATTTCAACATTGCCACATTTCAACATCACCCAACCATTCTGAAAAGTATATCCCCACAAATGCAGTGAAAACAGAGAGAGGTAGAGAAAGAAGGCAGAGACTTGCATAGCTATTCCTCCTGACTCCCAATCTATAAAAGACATAGTCACCATATAGCTACACGTTCACATTTCTCATTTGGTTACCTGTGTAGCAATGAAACAATTTCAGGATTTTTAAGTTTTATTTATTTTATTAGGGCTGCCTCTCTTCATGAACTCCCTGAAAACAAAATCTTGAATTCTCCTTTCACTCACACTTGCGTCAATCAGGAGCAACTCCATTGAAGTCATTTGCCATTATAGATGAGAGGAAAATCATCCCCCAACACTAAGAACAAATAAATCAATCCTGAGAGTTCAAAAAAGAATGAGAAGATTGAGGGAAATCTGAAAATGTTGAAAAAAAAATCACTTGCCAACTCACCAGTGGTGAGCAGAAATAGGTCACATTCTGCTCTTACTTACAAAGGTGTAAATCCTGAGTATCTCTGACTTCAATGGAAGTATTTGGAATTGACATCTGTGTAACAGAGCAGAACTTAGCTGAAGTCAGTAAGAAATTCCTTAATACAATAGCTACAATTAACTAAACCATTTAAAAATACAGCTGATGTTGACTGTCCATATGCAAATTAAACAAGTATCGTTCTAACAGGAACATGCTTGAATAGTTTTGTAGGAACAATTATATTACTTAGCCATTAACCAATACACCGTTCTCATAGATCAGAGTATACACTAAAACACAGCTCTTCAACTTGCAATGTTCTGTAATTTATCTACAGATGCAGCTCAACCTGCTGCATATTCCTTTGAGTTATACTCCATCCAGCTAAACTCTCTTACAAACACGATAGCTGCCAAAGTCATTTTTAAAGTTTTAAGTCCTCTAAGAGCGCAAATACATTTTCACTGTCTCTGTATCTACTTTTGATGACCAGCAGCCACTTACAATCTGGCAGTGCATCATCTGGATAACTCTTCTTATATGAAAGAAACAGTTACTGTCACTGAATCAGTGTACAGGGTAGTTTTTTCTTTTTATAATATTGGGCCATATTCTGCTATGCCTCCTCCACAAGTAGCCCCATTGATTTTAGTGGAGATATTCAGAGAGTAAGGCATCACTTAACTCCAGTAAAGATGGCATATTCTGGCTCTTCGAATTTTGGTGCTTTGGTACCACCCTCATTACAAATATGATTGATTGACTGGTTGATAGATGTAGAAGCAAAAAGCAGGCTGTGAGGAACTAACATTTCTTTTACAAACACTCTTTTAGCAGTGCTAAATAGGAGAAAACAAAAATTAATACTGCAAAAATAAAAGGAGGGGGAATCAAATTCCTATAGAATAGTTATTAAATTGTTTACCATTTAGCTGATAAATATATACTTCCAAGTGCAAACACATTGCCATTAGCATGAAGAACTGTTCTAATTAAAGCCGGTTGGTCTATTTCCACTAACAGCTATTACAGAGCTTGATAATAGGACAATATTTCTTATCCGAGGATAAACCCCTTATCTCTCAAGAGCAAAAATGTTCTAATGGTGAACTATTTGGCTGTGCTAAGAAAAAAAATAACCTAAGTCCACTTCAAAACCTAAGCTTTGACCCATAGGTTGTGCTGCAGTGTTGACACTGCCTGGCACCAGGATGCCTCCTCTGGGGAAATGGGCAGGATCTACCTGACTCACCTGGAGTGAAAGAAACTCTCCCATGTTGAGTTGCCTCCTGCAGGGGCTCCCTAGCGTGACACCTGCTTGCTCAAGTCGGTGCTAATAACCAGAAGAGAGAACGACCCAAGGACCATTACTGGGGCAGTCCCAGCTCCAGCGGGGAAAAGCTGTTCAACCTGACAACTCAGCGCAGGCACCAAATTTCCCCTGCTCTCAACAGCAGCCTCGTCCCCTACAGCTCCCAGCGCCCGCGCTCAACCTCCTGCGGGCAGCCCCCTCACTGTAGAGGGCGAAAAGTTGGAGCAAACGCTGGGGCAACCCCTGCTGCTGCCGAGCCAAGGTTGGCTTCTCTCACCTGGGCGCACCCCCCTGCCTCCCAGGAGCTGTCCCCCCTCACCGTTGTGCTCGTCGTATCCCCAGTGCAGCATGGCCACCCACGTCCCTGCTTGCTGGCGAGAGGAGCAGAACGTCTGGCTGGACGGAGCAAGACACAGGGCGCTCTGAAGGAGACAGGCGGCGCCCAGAGGCTGATAAAGTCTGGTTGAGCGCCGGGAGCGGCTAGGCGCCGCTTGTAATTCCCACCTTCCGCCAGCTGGGGGACCTGGCCCCCTCCAGCGCGGAGTCACCTAAAGGAGGTAACATTGCTCGAGTAGCAACAGCCAGGACTGTGATTCCAACCGCTGATGGGATCATTTGTGTTCCTATTCATCAGAGATGGGCCTGAACACAAACCTTGGACCTGAAAAAGGCCAAGACTGTGAAGAGTTCAGATCTGGACCCAAACTTTGCTGTTCCCATCTGAGTTGTTTATTAATAGTGACATTTTTAACAAAGGACGTTTGCTTGCTGTCCAATGTTGCAGGGGGGTAAGTGGCACCTGATAGTGTTCAGCATCCTGCAGCATTAGGCTCCTCACCCATGCATCTAGACAGGGCCGGCTCCAGGGTTTTGGCCACCCCAAGTAGCCCCAAAAAAAAATAAAAAAAAAGCCGCGATCGCGATCTGCGGCGGCAATTTGGTGGGATATCCTTTGCTCCGAGCGGGAGTGAGGGACCGTCTGCCGAATTGCCGCCGAATAGCTGGACGTTCTGCCCCTCTCCGGAGTGGCCGCCCCAAGCACCTGCTTGCCAGGGTGGTGCCTGGAGCCAGCCCTGCATCTAGATAAGCCCCAGTCCTGCAACTGGATCCAGGCAGGTGCAGGGGTCTGCCTGCACAGCTCCAATTGCAGGAGTGGGCTTTAAATAGTACAGGATGTGCAGCAAACTGACTTCATGTCAGTTAAAGGATTCAAAGCCTCTCCCCTCAAAAACAAGAGAAAGAATCAAGAAAACACCTAAGTTATACCATACAGGAAAAGGCCTTGTAAATGTCTATGCATTTTATGACCCTCATCATCAGAGTAGCTGAGTGTGTCCCAAGTATTTAACAATAGAAATAATCTCTTTCTTTCTTCCTTTCCAGGCCTGTGGGGGGAAAAAACTGATTGTTTTATAGGGGAGCAGGTAAGGTGTTTGTTTGCTTTTAACACATTATCTATTTTGTGTGTGTGAGTGTGTGTGTGAAGCTGTGTCTGTCTTGGTATTGCCAAACAAAGCATTAAAAATCATGAGTTAGGCTTAAATACAATGAAATTGGCTTAAAAGGCCTGAACTGTGATTTTGTTTGGTTTTAAATAGGGGTTATTTTTCTTTGTTTTCTGAGGGTACACTTGGCTGTGCACACACATACAAGCACTTAACTGTGGTAATGATATGCACAAATTACCAATTCCATGGCTAAATGTCATTTGTACAAACAGTCCCTGCAACAGTACATGTACAGTACTGAAAATCTGGCCCTAAAAGTAAGCATTTTTTATATTTTGTTTCCTGTCTTCATTGTAATAATTTAAAAAACAAAATACAATTATTGTCTAGACAAAGTTTTATGGGAACATTTCACATATAGTACAAAAAAATAGAAAATAAAATGAAGCCTAAACCTACTCCTGAAGATTAAATGACTTCTTTCCAATGTACAACAAAGTGCACATATTTTGCTAATGACTCTGAGTTCTACATTTGCTCTAGTTAGTTAATGAATTATGCATACCATTTATTTATATGCTACTCCATTTCCTTTTTCTTGCTGGTTTTGCTTGTTTACCTGGTTTACTGCAAGGAGAACCCTTGAAGATGATCTTGTAAGGATAAGTACTAAAGATGAATATTTTTAACTAGATTCAAGAAGGAATGTGGTTCCAAACAAGCAACCCAAAGGAAACCAAAAAAGTTTTATAAATTAGTTTTAACCTCATAGTTAAGCACATTCCATTCCATAGCTAGCCATGATTCAAGTACAAAGCTGAATTATCCAATATTTAGACTGAAAAATAAGAGCCACAGATTATATGCAATTTAAAAGAACCACTTGATTCTCTGATGTGTAGAATAACCAGAAAACCCTCAGGCTGATGTCCTGAGTAAAACAAAGTGCTACCAAATGCAAATGGAATAGAGAAAATGTTTTGTGTTTTTTTAAATCTTTCAATTATAGTAACTCAAGGGGTTATTTGTAACAATGATAGATACAAAATTTTCAGATGGAAGTGAGATTTCCAAGTTGATAGTATCCTTTTAAGTTACACATTTGGGCCTGTATCCTGAAAAAATTTTCATGTGTGCTAGTAAACTTTACACACTGTTAGACCATTTGACTGCTCACAGTGTAAAAAGTTAAGCATGTGTGTCTTTGCAGGATTGCCTTGTGTTTGAAAAACAACCTTCTACTGCTTTCTATGGGAGGAAAAGCTGTAGTTCTTTTCTAATGAACAAAGAGTTGGTGACACTGAAAAAGACTTGCTTTTTGTACCTATGGCAAGCAGAACAAAACATTGTTTGATATTACATTTTTTAAAATTAAATGCATCTATAATGCTATTATTTTGTTTACCCTACAAAATATTTGTTCATCATTTTCTTATTTGATATTTCTAAATGATTTGTGATGTCTCTGTTGTTTTTCCACAGTGATGGAGAACAAATAGAATCATAGACTTTAAGGTCAGAAGGGACCATTATAATCATTTTAGTTGCCCTTTTCTGAACCTTTTCTAGTGCCAGTATATCTTTTTTGAGATGAGGAGACCATATCTGTACGCAGTATTCGAGATGTGGGCGTACCATCGATTTATATAAGGGCAATAATATATTCTCAGTCTTATTCTCTATCCCCTTTTTAATGATTCCTAACATCCTGTTTGCTTTTTTGACCGCCTCTGCACACTGCGTGGACATTTTCAGAGAACTATCCATGATGACTCCAAGATCTTTTTCCTGACTTGTTCTTATGTTCTTATCATCTAGTCTGACCTCCTGCCCAATGCAGGGCACAGAATCTCACCCACCCACTCCTGTATCAAATCTGTGTCAGAGCCATTGAAGTTCTCAAATCATGGTTTAAAGACTTCAAGGTGCAGAGAATCTTCCAGCAAGTGACCCATGCCCCACGCTGCAGAGGAAAGCGAAAACCCCCCAGGACTTCTGCCAATCTGCCCTGGAGGAAAATTCCTTTCCGACCCCAATATGGCAATCAGCTAAACCCTGAGCATGTGGGCAAGACTCACTAGCCAGACACCCAGGAAAGAATTCTCTGTAGTAACTCAAATCCCACCCCATCTAACATCCCATCACAAGCCAGTGGGCATATTTACCGCTCATAGTCAAAGACAAATTAATTGCCAAAATTAGGTTATCCCATTATACCATCTTCTCCATAAACTTATCAAACTAGGACTTGAAACCAGATATATCTTTTGCCCCCACTACTCCCCTTGGAAGGCTGTTCCAGAACTTCACTTCTCTGATGGTTAGAAACCTTTGTCTAATTTCAAGTCTAAACTTCCTAATGTCCAGTTTATATCCATTTGTTCTTGTGTCCACATTGGTACTGAGCTTAAATAATTCCTCTTCCTCCCTGGTATTTATTCCTCCGATATATTTATAGAAAGCAATCATATCTCCCCTCAGCCTTCTTTTGGTTAGGCTAAACAAGCCAAGCTCTTTGAGTCTCCTTTCATATGACAGGTTTTCCATTCCTCGGATCATCCTAGTAGCCCTTCTCTGAACCTGTTCCGGTTTGAATTCATCCTTCTTAAACATGGGAGACCAGAACTGCACAACCGTATTCCAGATGAGGTCTCACCACTGCCTTGTATAACAAACAGTACTAACACCTCCTTATCTCTACTGGAAATACCTTGCCTGATGCATCCCAAGACCGAATTAGCTTTTTTCACGGCCATATCACATTGGCGGCTCATAGTCATCCTGTGATCAACCAATACTCCGAGGTCCTTCTCCTCTTCTGTTACTTCCAACTGATGCCTCCCCAGCTTATAACAATAGTTCTTGTTATTAATCCCTAAATGCATGACCTTGCACTTTTCACTATTAAATTTCATCCTATTACTATTACTCCAGTTTACAAGGTCATCCAGATCTTCCTGTATGATATCCCAGTCCTTCTCTGTATTGGCAATACCTCCCAGCTTTGTGTCATCTGCAAACTTTATTTGCACATTTCCACTTTTTTTGCCAAGGTCAGTAATAAAAAGATTTAATAATATTGGTCCCAAAACCGATCCCTGAGGAACTCCACTAGTAACCTCCCTCCAGCCTGACAATTCACCTTTCAGTACAACCCGTTGTAGTCTCCCCTTTAACCAGTTCTTTATCCACCTTTCAATCCACCTCTCCAAGCTACATGTACTATGAACCCCAGCTATTCTCACATAAAATTCCCATTAATAGAAGTCAGTGGGAGTTTTGAGTGATTGAGGATTGCAGAATCAAGCCCAGGACCATTAGCAGAGGCATTAGCCTGAGCTCTGGCCCCATTATCAGCTCAGTAGGACTACTATTATGATATGAAGACTGAGAGAGGCTTCACCAGCAATGGTAGTGGACATCCACTATGGTTTGTAATAGCACCGATGTGCCTGTGCTAAGCTGTTTTTTCCAGATATCATCTGCTTTACAGCACCTAAAAGTGTGCTAGGAACTTTACAATAACATAAAAATTAGAAGATCTCAGCCCTGAAAAACTTACATTACAACAGAAATTCTATTACTGTATTGCACCTCTCTGCCAAATGCTGTCTGTGAAAGAGATGGCACTCTGTGGTAGATGTCATTGTAGAACATTCTGCTTCCTTTACCACAAACCTTTTCAAGGGCCTGCTGGAGTAACTGCTCAGTTGCTAAGCATAGCTACAGGTGGAGAATAAGGAGGAAAGAGCAGAGATATGCCCACTCTCTACCCAGATCCTGCCATTTTGTAGCTTGTCCAACCCTCACCACTCCCTTTGTTAAGTGTGTATACATGTGGTTCTGCAGGCTACTATTGAATATAGAATTGCTTTTTACACCACACAACACAGCTGACTTGCTATTAGAAGCATTGCACATCATCTTTGCCTAGAGATTTTACAGCCACCATAGCTGCATAAATGGGCTTAGGTTAGGCCCAGAAATATGGCCCAATCTTGAAGGTGATGTAAACACACAACTTTGCTGTGATCAATGGGAGCTGAGTGCGGAGCACCCTGTAAAATTGGCCTTATGTTCACACTGCTGAAGTAAGTTTAACGTTTTAAACAAGCTGAAAATTCCAGTCCATGCACTTAGTCATACACATAGCTAGAACAGGTGATAAATACAGGATGGGAAATGGGAACAGAGAATAAAATCTGATCACGCATGACATGTGGGTATTGCTGATAATGTTTTTAAGGCTTCAAGAGAAAGACATTCATTTTTGAAAAACATACACCAAAAATGAGGGCCTGAGGCTGCAAAACACCAAGCCCTGATTGCCTGCCCCCTGGAACTTGAGAAAGCTCAGCATCCCACAATCTCAGCCTCTTTTTTAGCCCTGTGTGAGGTTTCATTTCAAAACAGACATGTACCTTTGTAAAACACCCAAAAGCCTTTCCGCGCCTCACTTTGGTTAATAACATTCTTAAATATAAAACCTTTCATCTAGGAAGTAGCAAAAGGCATGAGAATTGCACCGGTTAGGCAAGGAGGTGTCCTGCATTTCCATTCAAATATTTCTAAAAGCAAGTGTGGTTAGAATGGGCAGGCAGGCAGATGGCACCATAGAAGTAACATTTATCACCTGGATGCAGGATCGAGTCAATAGGCAAGCACTGTCTGTTACCCTGTGCTTGCCAAGTGCCGGGCACAGCCGGGTGACTGATTGATGTCAGGGGGTGCCCCTGGCTCTTGGTGTGTAATTCAAGGAAGGCGTTAGCAGCAGGGCAATAGCACACCCGAGTTCAAACACACGCGGGGGAACGCCGCCCCCTAGCGCTTGCTCCCGGTATGTCGGGTGGGAGCATTGTTGTTAATCTCGGGACAGGGCCCTAGGGAGCCATTGATTTCCTTCTGCCGCGTTGTCTAGCCTCCATTAGCCCTCACTAGCTTGTCCTGCCGCCCGCCTTTTGGCCGGTGGGCACCGTGCTGCTGTTGACAGAGCAGCCTCTTTGTTTTCTTTCCAACCTCCCAGTCCCCGCGGGAGCGGGACAGCGGAGCCCGCCCGGGGGTAAGAGCAGGACGCGTCCCTGGCTGGTAAGGCCGCCCCGGGCACATGGAAATGCGCAGCACACAGTGGCGGAGTCCCCGCGTGATCCCCAGGCGCCCCCCGGGCAGCTGGTCCCCATCATCCAGCCGCTGCATAGGGGACGCCAGGGCTGCTCTGGGGGCGGGGCCTCAGGAGCGGGGTTTCCCTCCTCCTGGGCGGGGAAATTCCCAGGAGCGCTCCTATGATGACGCGGGGCGCTCGCGCAGCCGCCGCCTGTGAGCTCGGACTGCAGCCGCTGCGGTGAGTGCGCTGGGGGGACGCGGGCACGTGGCGGGGGGAGCCCCTCGTGCGCCTGCCGAGGCTTCGCCCCGGGGCGGGGGAGCGCGGGGCCGGTTGGTTTTACTCTGGAAGCGGGGAGCTGCCGTGAGGCTGGAGGCGAGTGTTTGCGCGCCCGGCAGCGCACTCTGGCTGCGAGGGGGGACTCTGGCTGCGGGGGGGGGGGACGGGGACTCTGGCTCGACCCCGCCCGTTACTCATGTCTTGGGGGGTGGACACGGAAAGGAAGCCTCCGCCTCCGCCCTTTCCCGAAAGAGTTACCGGTGGGGCAGGACCTGCACGAGCTGGGCCCAGAGATCTGGCAGTAGGGTGACCAGATGTCCCGATTTTATAGGGACAGTCCCGCTATTGGGGGCTTCATCTTATATAGGTGCCTATTACCCCCACCCCGTGTCCTGATTTTTCACACTTGCTGTCTGGTCACCCTACCTGGCAGCCGGGCTCGCAGCGCCGCTCAGCTGTCGCCAGCCTACCCCGCCGCTTGGCCTGGGGACCCGCAGCCTCCTTTCGTCTGAGCTGCCCTTCCGCTCCGGCAAGCCTCCTTATGGCCAAAGTGATTCAATTTTAAACAAACCCCAGCCCTGCTCTTTCTTAGTGGGGTAGCAGGCCCAGAAATGGCTGTTACTGGTGAAAAAGCTGGCACGGCCTCAAAGCCGACACCGCCACATACTTACAAGGCGAACCTCGTTGTCTTACCACCTTCTAGGCCATGGGCAAGAACAAAGCCAAAGGGTCAAAGCCGAAGAGTGTCTTCGCTGTGGCCAACACCAAATCCCTGAAGGCCAAGAATAAAGCTAAACCGGTCACAACAAATCTGAAGAAGGTTAGTAGGGCCACAGTAATAAGCCTGTGCAAATATTTTTTTCTTCATATGTTGTTTTTGAGATCTCCACCAAGCATCTTTAGTAAAAACAAAAACAGACCCATGGTACACAGGACCTGTACCATGGGTAGGGCCCTATCAAATTCACAGCCACAACAAATGCTTAGTGGACTGTGAAATCCGGTCTTGTGTGTACCTTTACCCTATACTATACAGATTTCACGGGTGAGACCAGCGTTTTTCAAATTGGGGGTCCTGATCCAAAAGGGAGTTGCAAGGGAAGCTCAAGGTTATTTTAAAGATGTCACACTCTTGCCCTCCTTACTTTTGCGGTGCCTTGAGAGCTGGGTGGCCAGAGTGGCAGCTGCTGACTGAGGGCCTACCTCTGAAGGCAGCAGCACAGAACTAAGGGTGGCAATACCATATCATGCCATCCTTCTAAGCTGCTGCTGCTGGTGACTTCGCCTTCACAGCTGGGCTCCTGGCCAGCAGCTGCCGCTCTCCAGCTGCCCAGCTCTGAAGGCAGTGCGGCTGCCAGCAGCAGTGCAGAAGTAAGCATAGCAGTACTGCTAACCCCCTTGCGACATCCTCCCCCCACACACACCTCTTTTTTGGGACAGGACCCCTATAATTACACCACCATGAAATTACAGATTTAAATAGCTGAAATCATGAATACAATTTTTAAAGTCATATGACCCGTGAAATTGACTAAAATGGACAGTGAACTTGTAGGGCCATCACCCACAGAACAGGGGCAAAAAGCCTTCAGTTTCCCACTATATAAAACATTAATGAGCATGGAGAGAGATGACTAAAAGCAAACATCAGAGGGGTAGCCGTGTTAGTCTGGATCTGTAAAAAGCAACCGAGAGTCCTGTGGCACCTTTAAGACTAACAGATGTATTGGAGCATAAGCTTTCGTGGGCGAATACCCACTTTGTCAGACACATTTATTCACCAATTGGGCTAGAACAGAAGACAGGATTATATGTGGATATCCTGAACTAATACTGGTTGATAGGAACTCCATTGACACAGCTACTTGAAACAAATAAGAAAACATCACAAGAAGAAGATGTTTACACTTAACAATCAACTTGAAATCTAGGGTGGGTTGTTGGGTGTTTAAGAACTTTGGGGACTACCCTTTGCCTCTAAGTCTTACTGCCTATTTTTGTGGTTTTGCCATTTTGTTTTCTTAAAAAAACAAAAAAATCTTGCCTTTATTGCCGCAAGACCTACAAACCCAAAAAGGGGAAGAGTTACTGGGTAAACAGTAAAATTGATTACATACCAAGCACTGTCAGAAACAGAAAACCTGACAGAAATAATCTAGGTTACTGGAATCTTTGTTACTAGAGCTGGTTGGAAATTTATTTAAAAACTAGAAAATTGCATCTGTGTAAATGACAATTTTTGCAGAATTTTTTTTTTGAACAACCCATTTTTTTTAAACCATCTCTTGCTGAAGTTTCTAGGTGGGAGTATGATTTCTAAATGTAATGGTATTACCTTAATGAGTGCTGAAAGCTTGAAGGTTAGTCCACAAAACTGTTCTTTATACACCCAATACAATGATTTCATACTGCTTTATCTTGGAAAGTGGTTTTGCAGCATGTTATTGATTACTGGGGAACATGACACAGAACAAGACTTAAGATGTGATCCCTGGCATAATGAGCTTTCGTTCTAAAATTAGACAAAACTGTATTGTTCAGGTGATGCACTAGACTTGTTAGCCACCACGACTTGGCTTTGTTTTCCCAAAGCTTGTGTCACTCCTGAACTGCATAATCTGCCACAGAATTCAACTATTAAGAATCTAATAAAGCAACAGTGAAGATTTTTTCCAGTGCATATTTTCAAACTGTTGGAAAATGTATAGCTAAGCCAATGGTAATCACATTTTTTCTGAGAAAGGTGTTTAAGGAAAGACCTCTTAACTTTCCTGCTGCAAGTTATAGACAAAAGAGAACAAATCACTTAGTAGAAAGTTGGAATGTTACCAAAGCTATGGAATTAAACAGTGACTCAAAGGGAAAATGTTTTGTGTCACTGGCACCTGAGGATGTTATTCAGATATAAAGATAACTTTCAGTGACAAACAATAGCAGCAAGCTTATATTCAGGAATATCTAGAGGTGGAGCCAAATCTCCATTTTATATAGTATTTCGTATATAACAGTAACACAGATTTGAGAATGCTGTTGTTACCGAAAAGTGGCCCATTAGATCAAGTTAAGATGAGATGAGCAGTTACAAATTACAGGTACCTACCTACCTACCTGCTGATAGAAATAAAGAACCTGCCTGGACTGGGTGCTTCTTCATATTGGCTAAAATAAACTGAAGGTGTGACAGTTTGTCTGAACTAGTTTTCTGTTATGTGTTCCATTTCCAGAAGGAAATCTTTCTTCCCCTTTTATCTCCAATATAAACAAGTTAGGTCAAAGCTATTTGTTAGATTTCTTTGCTAGTGATCCATTTATATGAAAGTTCTATTAAATTCACTATCTTTAATATTTACACATTCAAACAGTAGTACAATTAAAACATTTTAAAGAATGTGCCCCACTCCAAGCATTTTTAAAGATAGAACCGTTGTAAATACACCTCTACCCTGATATAACACGATCCGATATAACATGAATTCGGATATAATGCGGTAAAGCAGCACTCCGGCGGGGGGGTTGCACAGTCCGGCGGATCAAAGCAAGTTAAATATAACGTGGTTTCACCTATAATGCAGTAAGATTTTTTTGGCTCCCGAGGACAGCGTTGTATCGGAGTAGAGGTGTATGTATAATAAATAGTCTATGAATAAGCCTTAGCATCATATTAAGATCACTTACTGCCTTTGACTAACTTGTGCAATTTTTTCTCCTCTAAAGATAAACATTGTGAATGATGAAAAAGTTAGAACGGTAAATAAAACATTTACTGAAGTACAGAAAGAAGTCAAACAACTATCAAAAGGCATTTCATCAAAATCTCAAAAGAGGCGTTGGGTAATAATTGAGTCCTATTTAATGCATCTTTGGTTGGGAGGGTAGCTGCAACCTCCGGTTAGAAAGATTCCAAAATTAAGGTTTAATTTTAATAAGTTTTTAGGTCTTGACTAAGAAAAAAAAAAAAAAACAGTTGTGACCCCATCATGAAGAGATGTCAAGTCTGCAAGCAACCTTAGCAGTTCTTCTGAGGTCACAAACTCCCTTCTTAGTCAGAAGAGAGGAAATAGTTGAGCATCACTAGATGTCAGAATGGATTTTTCATTTAATATCTGGATGTTTTAGTTGATTCTTTTACTCGTGAGCTTTAAAAATTAATAAAATAACTTTTCAACTGGACACCTTGATTCATCGAGTTAACCCTTAACAGGAATAGGCATAGAAAATAAAGGTGGTTGCTTTTGCAAGACATCCTGGATCTCCTGGCTAACCATTTGATGACTGTTAATATGAAAAAATTAATGTTTTTGTAAAAACATCAGCCCCACCTCTGCTCCAGTTGCAGCTTCCTCATCAAAATATAACATTTTGAAACAATTTCTCTCTTTCTGGAGCACTGGTGGGGTCCTATTAATTATTCATGCAATCTCCCTGGAACAAGTTAGACAGTGTGTTAGTCTCTGTGCAGTAATAATCTCCTTCACAAGGCTATGTATGTTACGGGCACAGATTTTTTTTGGCTTTCCTCTGAAGCTTTAAGTATTGACCACTGGTCCATCTAGTCTAGCAAATCATATATTCCCATAAAGTGAATGTTATAAAAACGTAGGATGTCTTGCAGTCCAATACACCAAGCTAATCAATCTTTCAGACAGCAAGTATTTGTTAGCTTTATATCTTCCATCAGTGAAATTTTTTATACAACCTCAGCTTCCAACTTTATGTAATTTTTTTATTTTTTTATTTTTAGGTTTCCAAGCACCTGGAAGGTGAACCAGCTGATGTGGATGCAGCTGCAAGCTTATTATCTCAGTTGTAATGCATAATGAAATATCTATGAATTTCAAAAGCAAAATTTACTGGCAAATCAGTGGATGGCACATAATGAATACTCGGTTTGTACAGTTTTATTAAAAAAATCTTGTTAATATACAAGCATTGGCACACTTTAATACAAACTACAAACAGACCTTTCCTATAATCTAGGAAAGTGGAATGTCAGAAGTCAAAATGTGAGAAACTTAAAGTGCTAAAACAGAAGGCACTTCACAAAATTGGTTCACTGAAACAATTTAACATAACCCATTTAATGTCCTTCACTTAAAATTTGGCAGTGAACGCTTTTTAAAAATTGTAGTGAAAGGTTAAAAACATACAGAAAGCTTCTTGGCAGTAAAGCTTCAGAAAGAAAATTCTGCTAAGTGACAAGCCTTGGGTTTTTTTTTTGTAAGTAACCAGAAGGCTGCAAGAAAAAGGAGGGGATGGGGAGGGGGGGGGGGAACTTGGGATTTCAAAGCTGAGTTACATTAATGTAACTTGTGAAAAAATACCAGAGAACATTTTGATAAAAGCCCTTTCTTCTGTTTTGAATTTAAGGTGTTTTGTGAAGTAGGTAAGGAAGCAAAAGGAAATGCACTCCCAGAGTCAGTGAACTAAGAGGTTATACATTCATTATTTAAAATACTTAGGTTATGAAGAAGTCTAGAATGTTATAAAGTTAGAGGTAGATATGACAGTCTGGTTCCCACCGAATCTAATAATTTAGTATCTGCACATCAAAAAGATCACAGACTCCTTCATTATCATCCAGGTTAAAGTTGTAGTCATCTCCGGGAGTAGGAGAGAGTCGTAAGAGAGGAAAAACTGTAAAACAAGAACAGTTTAGTTAATTATAGAATCACAGAAATCTATTATAATTAAAATTCTGCCTTGCAACATCCAGTAAATTTCAAATCATTTCCATCAGAAGGTAAATAAAAACTTTGGTGTCCAGTGTCAGTAGTCCAAAATGTTACAACTTGCTTTGCTTTGGCAGTGTTCGTGTGCATTGGGGATCCTGGTGCAACTCCACCAAAATAAGGTTAAAAATAATTTAAATGTGTAGACACAATTTATTTACTATGCTTTAAATGAATTTCCTTTGCAATCTTACCTGCAGCAAAGCCAGTGAAGTGTAACAGAGATTAGTCTCTTCTGCTGCAGCAAAGCAACACTTAAGCAGCCTTTGTGGTTGGTACCTAGCAGTGGATCTATTGTATTATATAGCCTTCATTATTGTAGTACCTGTGTGCCTCACAGTCTTAATGTATTTTTCCTGTGAGGTAGTGTTATTGCTTTTATCCCCCTTTACAGACTGGAAACTAAGGCATGAAGAGACTGAGGCCATGTCTACGCTATGCATGAAAGTCGATCTAAGCTACACAATTTGAGTTACGTTAATAGCGTAACTCAAGTTGACGTAGCTTAGATCTACTTACCGCAGGGTCCACACTACGCAGTGTCGACTGGAGAAGTTCTTCCATCGACTCCTCTTACTCTTCTCAATCCGGTGGAGTACAGGAGTCAACGGGAGAGCGATCAGCAGTCAATTATCGACTGCCCATCCATCAATCCTCCAGTAAGTGTAGACAAGCCCTAGATGACTTGCGCAAACTCTCACAGGAAGCCTGCAGCAGAGCAGGAAATTAAACCCAGGTCTCTCCATGTAGTACCCTGATCACTGAGTCATTCTCTCTCTTATCAACTGGATACTCAATTAGGCCCTGAGCCTGCAAAAAATTGAACACTGGCATCATTTAATGCAAATGAGTAGTATCACTGAATCTAAAGGTATTATGCATGTATAACATTACTCACACATGTAAGTGTTCGCAGGATTTGGGCCTTAATATCGTGACTGTCAGTATGGAAGGGAAAACAGGTAAGTGATGGAAACTAGAGTAAAGGTGGAAAGGGAGAGTTGCAACAGGAAAGAGGTGGGAGTGAAATAGGTCATGTTTAAAATGGTGCTGGCAGCTCATAGGCGCCAACTCCATGGGTGCTCCAGAGCTGGAGCACCCGTGGAAAAAAAATTAGTGGGGGCTCAGCATCCACTGACAGCCCTGCCGATCAGCTCACCCCCACCAGCACCTTCTGCCCACCTTCAGCTCTGCCGATCAGCTCCTGCCCGCTGAGGATCAGCTGTTCAGCAGCATGTAGGAGGCAGCATGAGGGCAGGGCACGTTCAGGGAAGGAGATGGGAAGAGGTGGGGACTTGGAGGAAGGAGTGGGGGTGGGGTCTGGGGCAGAGCAGGGGTTGAGCACCTCAGGGGAAATGAGGAAGCTGGGGCCTGTGTGGCAGCTGTTTTAATATCAGGTATTTGTAATGAATTTTGGAATCAGATTTGAACAAAAACCTAGGGAAATGATGAATTCAGATATGAATGACATTTGCCTGCAATAACAGAGGACTAGACCCAATGAGTCAGGAGATCCCTTCCAGTCCTACGTTCCTATGAATGTATCACATTCTTAAAATATAACTCTGCTTATTTAAAAAAAAATAGGAATGCTAAATGCTTACCATCTGAAGACATCAATTCATCAATGATATCACTACTAATAGTTCCTGTTAAACACAAAAGCACTTATTTGTGAAAGTCAGCCCAGGTTCTGTGCATTAAACAGTTATTGAAATGGAGAGTGTTAGGTGTTAGGCTACTACATTTATAACATAATGCTTTCAAGAGCAGTAGAGATAGTCAACCTGACCAGTATCCTACTGGGCTTAAAATAATAAAACCCCTTAACTTTTCCTTTTGGACAGTTTCTGGTGCTATTCTTAGGTTACACAAACACTTATAACTACAAAGGGAATGTAAGCAATGTACCAGAATGGAGCATCTTTATGAGGGATGCACTTCACCCAAAACCAGACAGCAACCACAGCCAAAATGGTGAAAAGAAAAGAGCTCCAGGAGGGAGAAGGGAAAGGCTGCAGACAAGACAAACTGCTGGCCTCTTCTCCCTTGGGAAATCTGCTGCTAGCTTTGTCAGGAAGGGTTAAACTAAAGAGAGTCTGCCTACCTGTGGGCTCATCCATCTTTGCTATATCAAATGAGTTTGGCTTGAGAATACAATTAACATCCAAGGGAAGCAAGGCCTGATAGTCATTTGAGCTAGCAGTAGTTTGTGTTGCATCTGTTGCAAGGCTCGTATACAGCAAGGAGTCCGGAAGGCTAGAGTAAGGAGTTGCTGGAGTTGTATTGTTCTCTTGCACACTGTTGTCTACAATGGCAGAAAAATACATATTACAAAGTCTATTATGGTAAACTATATGCAGACACACCTGTATTTGGTAGAACATGGCCAGTATTTGAAATGTCATCTCCTTTCAAAAACCAGGCACAGGCTCTCAAGGCCCTTCAGAGATTTGGTTCACAATTTCTGTAGTATGTTGCTAAATGGCATTTGATTATCTCCTGCCATGCGGGCAGGGGACTGGACTCTATGACCTCTCGAGGTCCCTTCCAGTCCTAGAATCTGAATCTATTAGTGATAAAAACAAGTTCAGGTAATCTCCCTCACTGAGTCTGCTTTTCACATAAAACTGCCTTTTGCAACAACAGCAGGGACTGTCCTAGTACAAGCTTGTCAAAGGTAAATATTCAAGCTTTACATTCCAGTAGAGGTTTGAAGTCTTTCATACACCACATACAATCACCTTGAGGAACAGCCCCAAAACCCTGTTGTGGGCTGGTTTCTGGATCACTTCTGAGGTGTTTCTGGTATAGGACGATAAATTGCAAGTGGAACAATCCATTTCAACAGAAGTCTGAACATAGAACAGGAAGAGGATGGTGACCTCCTCCAGCCAGCTGATAGTAACTCCATTGGTATCAGGTCTCAGGCCGGCAGCTGCTACATTATGCTAACAGTTGATTCCCTTTCTCTACCCCATCTCTAAAATCTCTTTTGGGGATGGGGGGAAACAAACCATGGACCCACCTGATGGTGTATCTGTAACTGGAGTATGTGGTAAATGCTGCTCCTGGTTAATGTCATGCTGCTCTGATGGATTCTCAGTAGATGCAGTAGGTTTTGGGGGAGTCACTGGAATTGCAGGCTGAGATGGGGGCTGTGCAAGGTCATCAGGAGGAGGAACTGGAAACACCACAGGCGTGGGGGAACTTGAGTCTTTATTAATAAGCAGCACATGGATAGGTCCTGAACTACTCTTTAGACTGATCTGGTATTTCTTTTGTCCATTTTGTCCCTTTAAAGGTGGCACATTGAAATAACAGTTACAATTCCTTGTGACTGACAATTAAGCCAAATAACTGCATGCAGTGATTGCCATAGAAAGTAATGGAAATGCATAATTGCCTAGGTAGAAAACTTTTATTTAAGAATAAAATTCTCAAGATGCCATTGCAAGGTGACATACAAATTTCTAGTCATAAGACCACATTAAGACAGTTTTATACCAAGTTAACTAACATCACTTCAGACAGAAAAAGAGACTTAAAACCAATACAACACGCCCCGTAACCACTAAGATTCCAACCCTTCTACAGTCTCACATAATTAACAACTGACACATGGCACTCAAGTACAGAATTCTGTGCAATGCTCATGTAATTGAATTCAAGCTTAGCTGCGAGTCACAGCAGGGTTCCCACTAAAACCTGACCCCGGGACATATAGTAGCCTCTTTAAAATAATTTTCTCATCTGCAAAATTGACTTAATTGGAACTAACTGTCCCACCATAGCCAAATCCTTTCCTCCCTGATTCAGTGAACACAGGACAATTTCCCTGTAGAATAGTCAACATGAAGCCTTCATGTTAAAGAGCTAGTTCTTGTGATTCAATCTGGCGTGTGCAGTGCTGCTACCATTGTCCAGTTCATGGGATTAAGTCATTATCTTTCTATTTTGGGAACAGGTGAGATATTTCAGTCATGAAGACAACTAATACAAGTTATCTGTGTCCAGCAGTACAAAGGACAGTCTCATTAGATTAGCATTGCAGTTCACCTTGTGGCATTTTTTATAACCTCATTGTTTAATTACTGTGCTTTTACTCATTCTTTGCTCAAGTTAAAATATGAAACGCATCAAATGGAATCACTATCCTCCTACAACTGCACAAAAAATGTTTGCCACTCTTTCCCCACCTGTGTAGGCAGCATGAAAAACTGAAAAGCACTGTATCACAGAAATTGAAGATGGCAGAAGGTAAAAACATGAAGCAAAGTAGATTGTCTTGCCCATCCATCTTTCTTGGCCAAACCAAGATTGCTCTCTCTATTATTCTCTGATGCTCTATCTGTTTTTCTACCGCTTCCTCTGTTGTTCTTTGGGGATCTGATCTGGGTTTCCAAATTCCTTGGCCCAGCAGGGGTTGGGAGGAAAGGAGCTTGCCACTGAAAGACCAGCATTGACAGACTCTGAAGGAAGCACCACTGCTTTTTGCCTGAAGGGAAACGGCAGTTATTGGGCTTTTGCAAACGGAAGAGAGAAGAAGGAAGGGGAAAACCCAAAGTATCTTGTTTTAACTGAAAGGTATAATCACTTTTAGTCTGTCTAGATGCGCAAATATGCTCTCTTGCATCTGAAGAAGTGAGGTTCTTACCCACGAAAGCTTATGCTCCCAGTACTTCTGTTAGTCTCAAAGGTGCCACAGGACCCTCTGTTGCAAATATGCTGTTTACCCAATATCAGTCCACATCCAATTAGGTGAATCCTAATTTTTTCTCCCACACAGACGAAGAGACAAACCTTGCTAGCTGCAACACAGGCATCCTTGCCCCTCCCTCACCACACATATGTAAGCAAACAGTTTGTACATACCATTTCAGGTATAGGTACTTCTAATTGTGTACCACAAGGTGCTTGAATTGCTAGAAGTGTGTCTCCTAGGAATTTAAGAAAATGTTAACCATATGTAATTTTACACATTCTTGGGTTGTGTACACTCAAATGGAATATAGTTCTCTAATGCCACTTCAGCATTAGTTTGATACAAATCCTGCACGTTTTGATGAACTTCAGGAACAAATTCTAACATGAATGAGAGCAAAGTGAAGAAAACCTGTCTATCTATGTATTCATAATTAGAATATCCAAGGACTTAGCTTTATATGTCCCCAGAACTCCAGTCTCTATAGCATGTACAATCTGGGTGTAGCTGCCTTGCACGGTGCACTTGGACACCACCTTTCTTTCTGTAGCATACTAACTGTTTGAAATACCTGGGGAAAGTCACTTCACTTCTCTGTGCCTCAGTTTCTCACCTATAAAATTAGGATAATGCTTTTTTCTCAGTGTATTGCGAGATAGCACTTCTCTCACTGTAAACCTCATTCTAAGTGTTTCCATATTTTGTAATTAGTGAACTCTTGTAATAATCTTTTTTATGTTTTGGGTTAAACTCTATAGTACATATAAGTACATGGCTACAGAGAACATTATCTTGAAGTTCTTCAGGCAAAACTAGAGAAATTAAAAGGCATTTTATGTAACCTAGAATTGTTTTCTAAACTTTGGACCAATTGTCCCCTCTTGTGGAAAAAACAGGAGGAGAACCTGGAAGGGAAATCTCTGCTAGAGGTCTTTGCAGAGAGTCTCCCACATCCTTCTGTGGGGGAGAGGTCCCAGTTTTTCACCACTCCCAAACTGGGTGGACTATGAGGAATCCAGGGAAAGACAGGAGCCATCTGTGCAGATGTTTGGTGTTTATCCCCCAGCTCTTGGCTTCAGCTATCCCCAGTAGCATGGCTCCACTGGAACTGTACTATCAGGGATTCCCCCTGGCTGCAGCTGTCCTCAGAAAATATATGGAAGCCTGGGCCTGAGTTGTCTTTTCTGGGGAACCTCTGGTGGGTCAGACCAACATGTCCTGACCTGCTCCCCCCACCCCCCCTACCACAGAACTTGGACAGGTCCTGCAGAGCCCGCATTAGGAAAAACAATGCCCTGGGGGCAACCAAGCCCCCCTTCCATACATCCATGACTGCAGATGGAAAAGACATCTAATAGCTCATGTCGCTTCTGTCGAAGTATGTAGTTTCAAAGTATCAAGTAGCTATGTATTGTAAGTTCCATTTCTTATAAACATAATTACACTTGCAAACATTTTCTAAATTCAAAGTAATTATGGAAAAAACCCACTATGTTAAAGTGAGGTTTATGTAACAATATAATAAATACAAATAATGATCCTCATGTTGTAAGAACTTTGCTCAATAGCAAGAATATGGAATCCTTGGCTCTAGATCTTCATTAAATAGCCATTTTGTATTGTAGGATGTGTTTTTGGGGAGGGGCTGGGGTGAGGGGGAGAGGTATTTGAAAAAATCCCATTTCTAGAGGTTTCAAACAAACAGCTTTTTTTCAAGTCTGATGGTTAATGCACGAGAACATAAGAACGGCCATACTGAGTCA